ACCAATCCCACCCCCCTTATACACCTCACCCCCCTTTAGCCTACCAACTTTACGTAGATCGGTAGAATGTTTAACGTCTCAACGTTGTCAATAGTGATCCTTTGCTCGATCGCGATAGCTGTTTTTGGTCAATTTACTTCAATTGGGCATCTTTGTTGTCCGTGCCTTATGAACTCGGCCTTTTATTTAACTTCTTTGTGTCAACCCGCAGATCATGAAAAGCAGTATATAAAGACCACCAAGATAGCCGTTAATTTAGAGCGAAAACAACCATCCATCTTAATACCATCTCTATTATCAATATATCATGACTGGACCACTATTCCACAAGCATACTGAATATCACGCATTCATCAATTTGTTGGATGCTTTGTTTGCACAACACCGAGACCGACGTTTTGCACGCTATCAAACGGCCAATGGTGAATACAAGGAACTCACCTATGAGCAATTTGATCGCATCACCACCAACCTAGCATGCCGTTGGCACTCGCAGCTTGCTTCAATTGAGTCAATGGGTTTTATTGCCGATCACTCAATCCATTATCTTGTTGCCATGGTTGCTATCATGAAGCTGCGTCCTGTGTTGATGGCACTTTCTCCACGCAATTCGGAAGCTGCAAACGTCAACTTGTTAACCAAGACCGAATCCAAGTTTGTGATCGCAAGTGAAAAGTACGCTGATATGGCTAAGCGTTGTGCTGCACAAGTCCCAGGTGTCAATTACCACATCATGCCCAATACCTTTGATATCGATTCGCTCATCAACGAACCTCTTGCCGCCAACGAATCCAAGTTGATCAACCGCCAATTTACAGCTGAAGACCAAGAAAAGATTGCCTTGATCATTCACAGGTATGTGTTGTATAACGTGTCTCATCATCAGGGATGCTAACAAGATTGTTTTTGATACATAGCTCGGGTACAACTTCCTTCCCCAAACCTATTCGCTTAAGCAACCGCTATCTTTTCAACTTGGTCCAAGTCATCCCCTATGATGTTAATCAATTGTCACCAGCAAAGGGATTTGGATCCGATGATGTATTTTTGGCTGCCTTCCCATTGTAAGTATCATCGATCATGGATTTAGCATACGCTGACAATATGGCTATTATAGGTTCCACGTCTTTGGTGTCTATACCGCTTTTAGCGCCTTGATGCATGGTGGAAGTACATTATTCTTCGCCAAGATCCCACCCACCCCACACGAGATTGTGTCTGCTATTGAGGAACATGGCGTCACGCTTGCTGGTTTGGTACCAGTTATCTTGGATCAGCTTGCTTTGTATCTCAAGGAGACCGGAAGGTTTGTTCCTTTGCAAAAGTTAAAGTTCATTGAGTAAGTGTAGATGCCCATTGTGTAAGTTTCTTTGTCTTCTAATCATTACCTTGTTTTTATTCAGATATGGTGGTGCACCTCTCAAATACGAAACCGGTGCCTATTTCCATGACAACGGTATCAATGTGCGCAGTGTGTATGGTACCACAGGTATGGCAACGCCCATTAAAAATGATTTTTGAAACATGGTTGCTGACAACAATGCCTTTTTGTTTATTAATCCAGAAATCAGTGCATCCTTCACTGCAAACCACGAGGATGAAAAATATTGGTATACAATGAAACCAGTATCACTCCTTCAAGACTATGTCCTTTGGGAACCTTTTGACGAGAAGCTTGGATTGTACCATCTTGTTCTCAAGGCTGATTCACCTTGTATGGCTACAGGTGTTGGTAATCGTCCCAACGGTGATTATGCTACCAATGACATCTTTGTGGAGGAGCCAGCAAACTCGGGCTATTGGAAGCACTGTGGCAGAAAGGATGATACGCTTGTAATGGAAAACGGCGAGAAGACCAATCCAACACCCATGGAAGCAACCATCTGTGCCTCGCCTATTGTAAAACATTGTACGGTGATTGGTGAAGGTCGTCAATGTACCGCTGCTTTAATCCAACTTGACTTGGAGCAGGCTATTCGCCACAATCCAGAAGGCATGATGGCAGAAGGTAAATACAAAGTCATGTAGCACATTTGATTGATTACTTACCTATGAATGATAACGTATAGTATACAAGGCTGTTGAAGAAGCCAACATGGATGCTCCTGGTCACTCTACGATTATGCCACAAATGGTGCACGTACTTCCCCTTGACAAGCATCTCCCTACCACTGACAAGGGTACCGTAAAGAGAAAGAATGCCATCCAGATCTATGAAGACGCTGTCAATGCCATGTACAAGGCCTTTTTGGAAGGTGGTGCATCATCAAGCGATGGGCAAGATGGTGCCAGTATGACCCTTGAACAAACCCAAGTCTTCCTTGCCAATGCTGCTGCAAGTGTGCTACGTACCAAGGATGCTACCTTTTTTGCCGAGCACAAGGATGATTCATTGTTTGACTATGGTCTTAATTCTTTGCTCTCGATCCAACTTCGAAACCAAATTGCTACCAAGTTTAACAATGTGGCCAACAATTTCCTCTATGAGCACCCTTCTATTGCTGATATGGCGCATACTCTCAAGAATGAAGATGAATTGCAAGCCGACAAGACTGAGGAGCGTTATCAAGAAACCCAACGTTTATTGGAGGCTTACCTTGAGCGTGCAAGTACTGATTTCCCTGAACGTGCTGTTACAAAATCCGTTCCTTCCAAGCATGTGGTATTGTTGACTGGTGCAACCGGTTCGTTGGGTTCGTTTATGTTGCGTGACATGTTGCAATCATCCAACGTGAGCAAAGTGTATTGTTTGGTGCGTGGCAAGCCTGATGCATTGATGGGTCGTTTACGTAAGACGTTTGAGGATCGACGCTTGGATGTATCCCTTTTGGACCAACATGCTGACAAGGTTGAAGCATTGCCCATGAACCTCACTGCCGAGTACTTTGGATGGGGCAAGGACGTTTACGAAAAGTTGCGACAAGAAGTGACCTTGGTGCAAGCCTGTGCCTGGTTATTGGATTTCAATCAACCTGTATCTCACTTTGACAAGGAATGTATTCAAGGCTTATATCGCTTATTGCAGTTTGCATACCGCCCTGTTGATCCCATGCATGTACACGTGGTTTCCAGCATTAGTGCTACAGCTGCTATGAAGACGAAAGAGATCCCTGAGGAGCCTTCTGAACAAGACCCACATGTAACGATGCCCATGGGTTATGCACATTCCAAGTACGTTGTCGAGCATTTGTTCCATTACTTGACCGAGCAAAAGGGATTCCCTTGTATTGTTGAACGCATGGGACAGGTTTGCGGGGATTCGATCAACGCTTCATGGAATACAAGCGAACAGTACCCCCTCATGATGATCGGCGGTGCATGCGAGCTTGGTGCTATGCCCGATTTGCAAACCAATGTTATTGATTGGCTTCCTGTGGATTATGCTGCTCGCAGTATCTTTGATGTCATGATTTCTACCGCTGACAAGGACGCAAGCCATCTCGTCGAGAATCACGAACTTGTATTCCATATTGTCAACCCAACTACTATCACTTGGACGGACGTCCTTAATTCACTCAAGGCTTGTGGTCTCGAATTCAAAACGCTACCACCCAACGAATGGGTTCAGCTATTGAGCAAGCATCAAGAAAACCCTGCTTATCGTCTCATGTCCTTTTATGAAGCCAACTTTAGTGGTCCCTCGATGCAAATGCCTATTTGGCAAACTACCAAGACTGTCAAGACTGCACCTGTTCTCGGAGAAGCTCCTGCTTTTGGTCCAGCTCTTATGCAAAAGCATCTCTCGTATTGGGCTAGCATTGGCTTTTATAAAAACACCCATCAATAGAAGAGATGACAGCTCTCTTTCCCTCTCCATATTGTATACCCTTTTCATCCTCCTCCTCCTCCCTTGCATCCATCCAACGATGATTATAGACAAAATAAATAAACCTTTTTTATATATCTTCCAATGAATTCTAACTGCTGGAAGCTGTAAGCTGTGCTAATTCATCTCGCACAGCCTTTCCTTTCTTGACCTTGTCTACTTGGTTTTCATCCAACTTCTCGCCACGGATCATCTTTTGCTCCAACTCTTCAATTTGTCTTAGCTTCTTTTGCAAAGCCTTGATCTTTCGTTGTTCAGCTGTAGCATCCGATGTGGGCTTAGGTTGGTCACCGTGAGTAGGCTTCTTTTTCTCTGGAGCAGGTGGAGGTGTTGCTGCTTCCTGTTGTCGTCGTGCTGCTGGTGATGCATAACGTTGCAAGTCTTCTAATGGTGTGAATCCAGGTCGTACTTTACGCTCTTTACGATACGATCCATCGGCACGTCGTGATCCTGGAATCCAGCGTTCTTCACCGACAGCAATGATGCCTGAATTTGTCTTTTCCATGGAAGCAAGAACGTTCGCAAGATGGTGGTATTCGGAGAAGAAAAAAAAAGAGAGAAAGAGGATGACATGGAAACCACCCCCACTTGTTTGCTGTATCCTTGACCATTACCGGTTCCTCTTCATCATCATCAAGTATCTTGTATCAATGTCACATGGTAAAATATGATCATATATGAAAAGGGACATGATAGATTAAACGTGGCATTTAGTATCCAAGGAATTCCGAAAACGGCCAAGGGTCGAGGCGACCACAAGTATATAAAGAGAGCGAATCCCCCCAGACATTACTCGAGTGTTGTTGCCAAATGTTTCAACGCGTGTAACCGGCTGCTAGTCTAGTTCTCCGATGAAATTGGATAGTGTGATGCGAATGGCGGCTATTGCCCAAAAACCAACATTATTTCATGTGCCTTACTCAACAACAATATCATCATCTTCCTCCTTCTTCTTTTTCTCTCTCCTCCCTTCTCATCCTCATCCTCACCCTCCTACTATCATGGTATCTCCCATAAGAATAAAGCGTTTCAACAAGTCTGCCCTTGCACGTTCCAAGTTTGGTTACAAGACGAGTGCCAAAGATTCTACTACTACCACGACGACTGCTGGAGAGCGTAATCGTATCTCACTCAGGAAGAGTCAAATTGCCGATCCCGTCAAAAAGAAGAGAAAGGAACCCACTACCGGTATCCCACCACGGCTATGGGGTCATCTTGTCCCTCCCATGCCTCTTATCACTTCTACTATCTACCGGCACTATGCAAAGGGTAAGTAACACGAAAACAAGTCTCTTTTATCATCATTGTCCTAATGACAACACTTTTTTAGGACCTCCTGCACCATCATGGTCGTTGACTTTTGATATCACCATTGCCATTATCACTGATTTCTTACGACGTTCGAGTAACAAGACCGTGGAGGACTTGCAAGCCTTGACAACAAGTAAGGGGCTTCCAGTGCCATCTGACATGGCCCGGGAAAAAGTCTACGTACCACAAGATTTTCGTATCCAAGCAGGCAAACATCTTGGTGCATTGCTTACGCCTGAGGATGAACTTAACATTGGTTGGGACTGGAGGTCCGATTATAAGCGCTCATTCGAGTTGAGAGGTGAATGGCTCTACGCCAAAAAGAATAACAAGCAGCAACAACAACGACCCAAAAGAACCATTTTTTACATTCATGGTGGTGCCTATTATCTTGGTTCATACAAGATTTATCGTCAGCTATCATCCAAACTTGCCAAGGTATGTTGTGTATATATAAACTATGTTGGTAAATTAACATGCATTGATGTGTGTGTGTATAATAGTTGTCCGACGCCAGCGTATTTGCCTTTAATTACCGCCTTGCACCCCAACATCCATTCCCAGCAGCTGTTGAGGACGTACTTGCAGCCTACTTGTACTTGATTGACCCACCTTCAGACTCTGGTGCCATGCCTGTGGACCCAAAGGATATCGTGATTGCAGGCGATTCGGCAGGTGGTGGACTAACATTTGCACTACTTTTGGCTATTCGGGATGCAGGACTCCCTGTCCCTGCAGGTGCCATGACATTATCCCCATGGTAAGTTAAATATGGTAACATGTTATTTCCTCCTTTTCGACTATTTTTGCTCACATGGTGGACCAACCTTGCATAGGGTTGATTTGACGCATTCTTTCCCATCCATCATCCATAATCTTCAAACCGATTTTCTTCCACCCATTGGTTTCAAACATGCACATTCGGAAGCATTGGATTATACATTGCTGCCACAAAACGAAGAGACACGTTCAAATTTGGAGAACAATCACCATGACAACAAAGATACACGAGATAAAGACCTTGAACGCATCCAATTTTATGCTGGCAACGAGGTACTGAAACATCCATGGGTGAGCCCAGTATTCGATCCCCATCATTTGCGTGGTCTACCACCCTTACTTATCCAAACCGGCACCTCCGAACGACTCCATGATGAAGCAGTGTATACAGCCTTACAAGCAAGTAGCCATTTTAATGGAGATGATGATTCGTCATTTGCACCAACATCAGTGAAACTCGAAATGTTTGTGGATCAGCCGCATGTGTTCCAAATCATTCTTCCCACGCGTTCCTCTGTTGCTGCCATTGAACGTCTATGTAATTTCGCCAAAAGTATTACTCCGGATAACAAGGACAACGTGAAACATGATGATGATGACTACCATGATAATCTTTCAGTCAGCACGATTTCACCTCGTGGTCATGAATCTAATTCGACTGAAGAATTACTCGCATCTTTTGCGGATGGTACCAAATGGAATGAATGGAAGCGGCGACTGGCTCGTCCCTCTTTACGTGATAGATTAGAAGAGGTTGAAAACGCTGTATCACAACTTTTGCATAAAGAGCATTAATTGGCGTCACCATGTATATTATATGATGATAATTGAGCTATACGTATACAACGAGCTTTATTGGATTGTGCGTTGGATTTTGATACACGATACATAAAGAAGGGGAAATGACTTGAATGGATGTTCCTGCACGACGTGTAGTTTGGCAAGGTCAATGTTGAGTTCGCCTGGGCGAACAGCGTTGCCATTGAGACACCGCCATAAAGTAAATCGGGATTGGGCGGGGCAACCACGCTCTTTATCTTCTCTCTCTCTCTCTATTACGCTTGCCCGCTCTACTGACACGTATCGACATGACTGATGCTGTGATTTCACAGCTCAAACTCGATCTCTTGAGCTCTGACAGTATGCTATTCGACTTCATTTTCAATATCCCTTGATCCTCATCGGCATTCCATAGGCCAAGTCAATGAGCTACGTCAAAATCTACGCAGGTTGAACGACGATTGTTTGGAGTTGACACTCAAGAACCAACGTCTAAGCAGTACGGAAGAAACGTACAAGGTAAGATACCTTTATAGTTTATCTACTGGATCATGGTTCTTACAAGTTAATTGATAGATGCAAATATGCGAGCTTGAGGCGCGTGTTTCTACTTGTCGTGAACGAGAGAGCAATTGTCGACAGCAGGTTTTGACTTTGGAGCAACAAAAACTTGAATTACAACGATCCAAGGTAATAAAGAACGGATCCTTTTGTTGTATGGATGATGAAAACTTATAGTTGTTATAGTACCAACTTCAACAAGAATATCTCGAACTCAAGTCAGCATACAAGGGATCAGAACAACAGCTCCAGACTGCTCATCATACGCTTGAAAAAGAGCTCGCCGATAGTAAAGCTCTCGCTCATGCAGCCAATGAATCAGCAAAAACGTTACAGCTACGATGTGATCAACTTGAGATGGATCGACGTGAAGCTATCAAAGCACAGCAGGACACTGCCGCATTGTTTGAACGACAACAAAAGCAGTACGAAGAGCACCTTGAGAATGCTAGGAAAACAGCATCCGAAGCAAAGGAATCTGCATCACGTATCACTGAGGAGAACGTTTCCTTGAAACAACAACTCGAAGAATGTCAACAACAGCTCCAAACAGCCAATGCACGTGCCGCCGAGTTTTCCGCCATCAACAGCAAACATATAGCAGAGCTACCTCAGGATAAAGATGCACTTTATGCACATGCGATCGAACTTCGAGATGCCAACAATAGTATCACCAAGCAACGGGATGATTTACAACGCCTGGTCGAGAAATTATCTCGTGACGTACATGATCATGAATTGGCTTATCACAAGCTCAAGGTTGTCAATCAACAATTACGTGATGAGCAACATGAGATGAGAGATCAAATCGCCAAAGCTGATGAAAATACCCAACAACAAATCCGCAAGGTAGTACTACTACTGCTCATGGCCAATGCTGAAGCTGACAACATTTGATTATAGTTGGATGATACACGACAACGAATGAATCATATGATGGATGAGAATCAAAAGTTGCAGACTTCGCTCACAATTGCCAACAATCGACTAAGCGAGCTGATTCAAGCCGATGGATCACAAGAAGGAGATGATTCTTCATTCAAGAATGTCACTGAGCTTTTACAACGCAACCAGGATCTCACTCGCAAAGTGCAGCAATTGTCACAAGATTTGAATGACAAGTCCATTTTGCTTACTCAGACCCGAGAGAAGAACGCTGAGACAGAAAAAGAATATGCAAAGTCAATGGTGGAAGCACGTAATGCTCTTACGCAGTTGAATGAAAACGTGATCCATCTTGAAGAACAGTAAGTAGTGGCAGCGAACCTTTACAGCAAAAGTATTCATTATACTCTTTTACAGGCTCAAGGTGGTTACCAAAGAAAAGGAAGCTTATCAAATGCTCTTCCGAGATACCAATCGACCACCATCGCAACCAGAGACAACTCAGGAACCAGCTCAAATCGATTCCTCCAATGATAATGAGAAACCTTCGGCTTCATCGTCATTAGCAGCTGACAACAATGCAGCCACAATAACAACAACCACCACCCTTGTTACAGCAACATCTTCCACCAATGAATCGAATGAAGAGATAACGCAACTCAAGAATGAATTGGAAGAGCTACGATCACAATTAAAGAGTGCACAAGCAGCAGCGGATGCCGCCAAGGAAGAACTCACTAAGCTTGAAGAGGATCGTGATCGTTACAAGGGCTTTTACAATGTCCTTTTGTCATCCAAAGATTTCAACCTGTCCGAAGTGGAGCGAATCAGTAAACGCAAAGCCGAGCTTGAGCAGATTGTGCAGCGATACGAGCAATCTTTAAATAAGACGAGCAATGATTTATTCTCACAGCAACAAACGACTGAGAAACTTCGTGTTGAGATATCGACGATCAAATCCGAACTTGGATACAAGCAAAAGCAATATGAGCAGTGTCTTGCTGACAAGGATTCAATCAAGTTCCATCACGACAAGTTGCTCAAGCTGCTTGTGGATCGTGCAGCTGATAAGGAATTGAATACGAATCTATGCGATGCCTATATCAACAATCTCAAAGCCCATGCAAAGGTGCAAGAGGACGAGTTGACGAACTTGCGTAGCCAGCTTGAATCAGCACAGAGCCAAGTGAAACAAAAGGAGGAGGAACACGGCAAAATGGTTGAGCTACAGAGCGAATTGGATAAAGTACAAAAGGAGATGACCCAATTGCAACAAACGCTAGCAACGACTGTGGAACAGAAGACATTGTTGGAGACTCAATTGGCGGCCAAAGAAAAGGAAGGTGGCGATGAAGAAGCAACGGCGCAACGTGAGAAGCTCTTTAAGGACTTGGATGCGGCACAAAAGGAAATCCTTGATCTCAAGAGCCGTTTGGCTGATTATGAAAAGCAGCTACAAGAGAGCAAAGACGCAATGGCCAAAGCAAAAGAGGAGCATGAGCTATTTATCCAAAAGACAGAGGAACGCGTATCGACTTTTGAGAAGCGATTGGAGGAGCAAAATACCCGTGTCAAGGAACTTGATGTTAGAGAAGATGAGTTGCGACAAGCCAAGGAAGAAAAGGCCAAAGCAGAGATTGCATGGAATGGAGAAAAGAGCAACATGTCAGCTGAGCTTGAACGTTTGCAGTACAAGATCAAAGAAATGGAAGATGAGGCGTTGCAGCTGAGAGAGACTATCAAGGTCAAAGAAGATTGGGCCAAGGAGTTATCAGACGAGCATGAAAAGGAGGCACAACACAAAGAAAAGATGGCTCAAGTGGAGAATGAGAACAAGCGTTTATTGGAAGAAGAACAACAAAAGCTGTCAGTAGCTGAGAACCAATTCAAGCTTGCACAAGAATCATGGTCAAAGGAGAAAGAGCATTTGGAAGCATCCTCTAAAAAGCTCCAAGAAGAGTAAGTGAAAAACATCATTACTTTTTTGTGACAATGAAGATGAACATAGGATATCTTTTTCCTTTAGACTTGAGCTAGTACGCAACGAGTACAATCACCTTTTGGACAAATTAAGCACCACCGATGCTGTACAACAATCCACAGAGCAAGAGCTGCAAGCTGTTTTAACGTCGTTGCGTCTCAAGAACGAAGGTGTCGAGCGTCAGCTGAACAACATGACCATCCAGTATCAGCAGGCTCTTGGTGATTTACAATATACCCAGATACAACTTGCGAACGCCAGAAGCCAGCTTGAGAGTTTACGTGGCGACAATGAAAACGCCAAGACACAACACAATGAAGAGCTACACAAGGTGCAAAATGAACTTGGCGTTTATCAAGAACAATATGCACAGCAGCGTACTCGGATATCCAAATTCCAGCAACTTATCATGACTCTCAAGAAGGATATCGCTGCAAAGGAGAAATCTGCCACTGATGTAAGTCCACACCTATAGTGATCATGGATCGTTGCTCATAGTTGTAAATGCCATAGGCCAAACAATTAGCGACTGAAAAGGAAGAAGCTGAAAAGAAGATCAAAGAGGCTGAAGCCAAGATTGCTCAGATGGAGAAGGAAGCGGATACGGATAAGAGCAAGCTCAAGAGCGAATTGGATCAAAAGATTGCGCAAGTGGAAGAGGAAAAGAAGCAGCTCAAGGCGGATTTGGATATGAAGATTGCCCAATTGGAAGAGGAAAAGAAAAAGCTTGAAGAGGAGGTTACAAAGAAGGCATCAGAAACAGGGGAGGAACAAGCCAAGCTCACAGCTGAAAACCAAAAGATCAAGCAGACTGTAAGTCAACAACATTGGGTGACAATAAGCAAAAAGTGTGCTAATGAAAACGCTATTTAGGCACTTCGATTCCAAACTATTATTGGCAATCTCAAGAAGCAGTTGGCTGCAAAGGAGCAAGAGCTGGAAGCTGTCAAGAGCGAAGCTGCCAAGGCCAAGGAGGAATCATCTAATAATGGTGCCAATGCAGCTGTGTCAAAGGATGAGCCTACCAAACCAGAGGAAGTTACCAGTGAACAACCTAAGGCAGAGGAATCAAAAGCTGAGGAAACACCTAAGTCTGAGGAAGCACCTAAGCCTGAGGAAGCACCTAAGCCTGAGGAGACCAAAGCTGAGGAGTCTAAGGCTGATGAAGAAAGCAAACCTGATGATCCCATGGAGACGGAGCCGAAACCAGAGCCATCTAATGCGACAGCAACTGAATCGGATCCCGTTGGAGCAACTCAAAGTGATGGAACAGAAGCTTTGAAAGACCAAACGGCTGAAATACAAAAGCTGATGGATGAGAAAAAGGCCATGGAAGATGCGTTGGCAAAGGTTACGCGAGAAAAGAGCGAGGTCGAAGAGATGTTGAAAAAGGCGCAAGAAGGATCAGAGGATAACAAGAATTCAGAAGCTGTTGAAGAATGGAAGGTAGGTCAACCCAATATTGTAATCCCATCATTAGCTTACGTTGGAATTCTTTTAGAAAAAGTATAGCACTCTTTTCCAACGAGCTAAGGAGATTGCCAGTCAAAAGGTATGTAATCATCAAATATGAGATCCAATTCCAAGTTGTTAACGTGTTTATAGAATAAGAGTGCTGAGGAGCTCAAGACGGCCCAGCAGCAAATCGAGCAGCTCAAAAAGGAGATCGAGGAACTTAAGCAACAAATCACCAAGCATAAGGAGGAAGCTGAGAAGGCACAGCAAGAGCTTGAAAAGTGCAAAAAGGAAATGGAAGAGAAACAAAAGCAACATGAACTGGAGGAGAGGAGGACCAAGCTCAAGGAGTCATATTCTAGCAAGAGAATTGAAAAGTTAACGCAAGAGATCCAAGAATTGAAGAGTGGTGTAAAACGAACCCATGATCAGATTGAGGGTGGTGAACAGCCATCTTCTGAAGAATCTCCCAATAAAAAATGATTGAATCATTGATGCATAATACACCCATCATAAAGAATGTCATTGTGATATGTGGAGATGTAAATAGATGAATAAAGCAATGAAACAAAGAACCACTGATCCGGGAGATGCTCATTTTTAAGTGTGTGATACATACAAGCTATTAGGGTGTATAGGACCTCATCTATGAGCAACCCGTTGCCTGTTGTATCATTATAAGAAAAGAAGGTTGCAGGTTTGTGATACCAATCATGCTGGGCGGTGAAATTCGGGTTTGGGGAGGAAGGCGATATGCTGTTGCTCTTTGTTCATACCCTGCCACTTTCTCTCTTTAAGCTCTTTCACGAGTAGCAATCCGCCATGTTTGATACCCCACGAGTGGTAATTTACAAGTCCTTCTTACTCAATGCACCTTTATTAACATACGCATCTGCAGGCCAATTTATATAACGAGCTCATGCTGCTAAAGGCTGTTGAACTCAAGGGCTTGATCCGTGATCTCAGGTTACGATTTGGCAATGGCGTCCGTCCTGCTACTCGCAAGGCCGATATGTGCGATAATATTACAGCTTTTTTGTTGGCTCAGACAAACGTTCAACCTATTGTTGATGTTATCAATGGTTATATGCCATCCGGGTAAGCTTCTTTGTGGTGGTGGTGATGATGGTGGGCTATATGTGAACGAGTTCTCATACGTTGATCTAGTCATCATTTTATCGTTGATGAACGCAATTTTGTCATGCCAGCACGCCGAGGACCCTTTGCTAGTACCAGAACAGCCATCCCTCAAGCACATTCAAGCGTTCCTACTGCTACTCCTGCCCCCACTGCTTCTGCTGCTTCTGCTGCTGCTGCTGCGACAACATCAATGATCACCAATCCAAGTTTCAAATCGACTCCATTTTATTCACCCGTTCAACGATTGGCTGGACCAGTTATTTGCCCTATTGGTAAGCAAGGTGAAATGTGTTGTCAGGTACTCGTGATATATTGACCATCCTCCTATGGTTATCAGCTACACAAACGTGTTCCATGAGGACACTAGTATTTACGTTGGATATTGGCAATTTGAATGATCATGAAGTACGCGTGTTCTGTGCGGCAGCCATGAGTCCAGCCCCGTCCCTCATTGAATTCCCTCAAGTGGCAGAGATACATATCAACGGCACCACGGGTAATATTACTGCACAAGTAAGTTTAATGAGCGCAGGAGTATGGCAAATATTAACAAAGCATATGAATAGCAATTGAGAGGGATTAAGAATACACCAGGAACGGTCCATGCGGCCAATGTCACACGCTGGATGAATCAAGGCTCGAATCAAGTTCAGCTGATCTATGCAAAGACTGAAAAGGTAAACACTCAAGATGATGCCATATGAGATGCGGATATGCTAATAGGGGCTATTAGCAATATGTGGCAACGGCCGAGCTTGTAAAAGTACATCCTGTGGAAGAGTTGGTTCAGCAAATGATTGAGCATCGATCAGTATCCAAAGATGACATCTTGGCAAGTTGTAAGTGAATGATTTCTATGGGGGTAGGTTTTACATGGACATCAATCTCGCTAACACAACACTGATAGTTCGAGAACAACAAGCCAATGCCGATATACAACTTCAATTCGAGACTCTTTCTCTCAAATGCCCTGTAAGCACCACGTTACCTGTTTTTTATTCAAGCATTATCTGACATCCCTCTTTTATATATATAGCTCTCATGTTCACGTATCACTTTACCATGTCGTTCAAGGAATTGTCGTCATGCACAGTGCTTTGATGGTGTAGCATACATGAGAATGAACGAGCAGACGCCCACTTGGAAATGCCCCGTTTGCAATTGCCCAATACCATATGAAGATTTGATTGTGGATGGTTTCTTTGCGGATCTTTTGGCCAATTCTTCTGATAGCATTCAAAGCGTTCGTATCAATCCAAGTGGTGAATTACAACATGAATTTACAGTAAGGGAGGAAGAGTCAGATGGCGACGCATACGAAGATGAGCAAGAACAACCATCATCATCATCAGCACCAGCTTTATCATCATCGGGTGGTGGTCCTACGGAACAATCCTTACCTACGACTACAACTACTACAACTACAACTACCACACCTACTATCCCTTCCAATAATAACAGCAACAGACCGGTCGTCATGGTGGATTTGACCTTGAGTGATCACGAATAGCATTCATCAACAGCATTGTATATTTTAGAAAAGTATTCATTGTACATAGAATAAGACTTGTATTTGCACACACACGCACACACATATAATAATCTTGATTCAGTCTGCAAAAGAAGGAAATATCATGCGGGTGGTTTTGGAACACGGGTGTTTTTTTCGTTTCTATTCCCTTGGACTCGATTCATGCTCATTACGTAGAGATCATGAGCTCCAACGACGATGACATTGCACAGCGAACACTTGCTGCTAAAAGAGAAGCCGAGAAGCTTAAAGAAAAGATCAAGCGGAAAAAGGAGTCGCTGGCCGACACCACATGTAAGCGAGAGCTATCCCTCTCTCTATTGTATAAAAAAGAAAAAGCTGACGATGATGAGCCGGCCCTTTAAAACAGTGCCTCAGAAGGCTCAACAAGTTGAAGCGTTGCCAAGGTTAACGATGAAGGTGCGAAGAACGCTCAAGGGTCATCTTGCAAAGATTTATGCCATGTCTTGGGCAGCCGATAAGCGACATCTTGTATCCGCTTCACAGGATGGCAAGTTACTTGTTTGGGATGCGTATACCACACACAAGTTGTATGCAATACCATTGAGATCTTCATGGGTGATGACATGTGCCTATTCCCCCTCGGGTCGCTATGTAGCTTCAGGTGGCCTTGACAACATGTGCTCCATTTACAACTTGCAAACACGTGATGGCCCAACGCGACCTGCTCGTGAACTTGTTGCCCATTCGGGTTATCTTAGCTGTTGTCGATTCCGAAATGATCAACAAATTCTTACATCGAGTGGTGATACGACGTGTCTCTTGTGGGATATTGATGCAGGACAAAAGATTGCAGAGTTTGCCGATCATACGGGTGATGTAATGAGGTACCAATGCATCTCACGTGGGAGGGAGGGACATGGGGAGGGTTGTATTTTTTCCACTTTTATATATGACTGAACGGTTTGTGCCATAGTTTATCTATATCGCCTAATCCCAACATCTTTTGCTCAGGTGCTTGCGATGCAACAGCCAAAGTATGGGATATACGAGCAAACAAGTGTGTACAGTCATTCAGTGGTCATGAATCCGATGTCAATGCGGTTCAATTCTTTCCAAACGGTCAAGCTGTATCAACCGCTTCTGACGATTCAACATGCCGTTTGTTTGACCTTCGTGCCGATTGCGAACTTGCTGTTTATACCCATGAATCAATCCTTTGTGGTATCACATCCATCGATTTCTCCATTTCGGGTCGTTTACTCTTTGGCGGTTATGATGATTACAATTGCAATGTTTGGGATACGCTCAAGGGTGAACGAGTGGGTGTTCTTGCAGCACACGAAAATAGAGTTTCTTGTCTTGGGGTTTCCAGTGATGGCATGGCTCTTTGTACGGGCAGCTGGGATCATCTACTAAAGGTAACAACATGCACTCGCAATTATACAGCGTATTGATCCATGAAATAGGTGTGGGCATAACGAGACACATCATTTCCTTTCTTTCTTTTCTGTAAATATACTACGCTTTATACCTCTCTTTTTGATATAGATAACTACTTTATAATGGATAAACACTAATATGAAGCGCGTTTATTTGAAATGACCAGCACTATTCTTTAAACATGGGATGTGGAACTGCTATTAGCAGCAGAAGTGATATAAGAATGAAGTCCATGAGGGCTCGTGGATGCATTGACGGGAATACTATTGACGGCTGCAGATGATGATGATGGTGGTGGCGGTGGTACTACGGATGACGATGAAGTGGATGCACGTGGTGTAGGTGATTCGTATCCAGCATAAGAAGGACCCCTTGAAATGGCTACTGAACCATTGAGCGTTGAATGGGATAAAAGTGTCGATGCAACAGTGGGTGGAGGATAAGGTCGTGTATTCATGATGGATGACTTGTACGAGGAAGAAAGGGAAAGCGATGATTGATCGGTGAAGGCCATGTTGGCAACATCTACATTCGTGCATTGAGAATTAGCAACGAGGGAGAGAGAGAAGGATAATGGTTCATTTACTTTACCTTTAAGATGATCTTGTACTGCAAAGGAATACGCATAATCTGCAGCGGTAAATTGTTGGTTGTTTTCAAGATCTACATTGCATCCTTCAGACTAGCAAGATGAGGTGTTAGTGATATTATAGAGGTTGGGGGTGTTTTATCCAAACTTACCACCAATAATTCCATCACAGTGCTATGACCCCACGCCGACGCATGATGCAACGCCGAATTTCCTTCATTGTCAACATGGTCAATATCCGCTGAAATCGAAAGTAGATACTATGGGCAATGGATGTAAGTATCTGGGTGATGGTTCTTTGTTGATGCATGAATGAACTTACGCTGACAAGTGCTGCATTGCCATTTTTGGCTGCATAAAGTAGTGCTGTCCACCCATTTTTGCTGATCGCATGAATGCATTCAGGATATCGAGAAACATAGCTGTAAAAGATCTAAATAGATATCAGCGGCGGTATTAAGGGTCGTCGTCTCGCTGCCGATTTACCTCTACGTGATTGTACATGGCTGCAATCATCAACACGGTGATACCATCGTGATCCTACTCCATGTTAGCTAAAGCTTATTTATCCCCTCCCCCCATACCCTCTCTTTGATACATACCACAGATATCACTTCTTCCTCATGCCCCATCTCTAGTAGCAAATCGACCAAATCCACATGTCCATATCGTGCTGCATACATGAGAGTCGTGCTATTGAACAAGGCTTAGTAACGACGTCTTGTCGAACAACAGCATGTATTCACGTACTATCCAGTCTCAGGATCCGGGTTCTGTATATTTGGCACCTTCTTCAATAGTCGTTTTACAGCAGCAATGTTGCCATCTAAGCAAGAGGAGACGGTGAGCGATGCATAAATGGCGAACGATGCAGTGTTGGAAGAAACCTTTTGCTGCCTTTTGCAATCGAATGGAAGGACTTTCCCGCACAATGCCATGCCGTCGAATGTCGAAAAAAGAGCCAAGGTTGTTCTTGTGTAGATCTGTTGTGGAGGCGATGGTGGTGCCTGGAAATGCCATTGGTATAAAATAGTAGAAGGAACACCAGGCGAAGCTTGTCCTCCTGTCAGCAGGTTCAAAAATCATCGCTCCTCGCACGTGCCCCCGATTGAATAGATACTCTCGATCCTCCCCATCTTCAATATCATGTACGCTATGTTACATTAAAGCATCTTCTTGTCATTGTTGACCGATAACGCACTTTATGCTTGGCTATTGCCATAATATTTATATCGAACGCGGATGATGAGAGTTTCGAGGTACAAAAATGGTAGGGACACAAAGGATTTATAGTGTATCTAGTTATGTATCCTTGGTGATTGTGGCCATTTGAGGTTTATAGTCTCTATCGTCACGCTATTGACAAGCAATGAAATCAATCATCCATCTCTCAATAAAAGCCGCCATTTGCACCACACATTGTCCTTGTTCATCAGCACACATGGATTACATTTACAATGGATGCTTTCTCATATGGATTATCTGATGCAGAAAAAGGGCTCAACATTCATGATTACGTATACACGTGTGTTATGATCATGCAACGCGCTGTATGTAAACCCCATGCATGCCACGAAGGAACAAAGTCATGCAGGCACTGGGTTTTTCTAGTAGTCGATATGGCATACTGTTATGGTCAAAAAACGTAGCATTTTTGGCTACCTCATGATTGGAGAGCACATTCTTAGCAATAATAGCTGTATGCACGATTTTCACTCTGACTATAAAGTTGGTCTGGAATCATCATTTTTTCCTTCTTTTACGTATCATAACTATGAAAGCTCCTATCCTTGCAGCACTGCTACTTCTTGTTCAAGGCCATAATGCTGCTGCATTAAATCCTGTACAACAACAAGATGTACAGCATAAATGTCCTCTATCCAAAACAGGCAATAGTCAATTGAGTGCTATTGTAAGCGAACAAGCAACGACCCAAGCTATTGCAACTCACCATAGATGTATGTAGCTTTCTCACTTTTCAGGTATATTCCTAGGAGACTATACGAGCAATGGAGGCTTTTTCCCTGGTCCCTTGGCAATTGGTGGCGACTATCATACAAACACCACGATGCTTGATTCAAGCCGCCATGTGGATTGTACGGCATCATCCATCACCAACAACAATGTTTTGAGCTATGGCCTGGTGGTCAACGGAAACCTCTACAGCAACCGAATCGATCTTACTGGCAATGCATTTATTGGTGAAGGCGACATTGCTGGAAGTGTCAAACCTCAACCACAAGGAGGATTCTGTGATCAGATGTATTTTGGCAACAGCAGCCCCTTGGATTTTGATGCTGTCGAGTCATCGCTGCGTCGTGCATCTCAAGCACTTGCTATGCTCAAACCAGATATGCGCTTCAAAGAACACCTTATTACACAATTGGATACACCCGAAAATCCACTTTACAACGTGCTTACATTTGATACATGCCGTGATTGCTCTTTTTGGGGACAAGAGTCATTGTCGGATCCAAGCGGGCTCTTGTTTTCAGGACCTACAGGCTCTCTCAAAGAAACACCTAGCGGTACGGTTGTTTTAAATGTAAGCCAAAAAGCCCTTATCATTCATTACCTTGTAGTTTGGACTAACAAAAAATTTATGTAGATACCGGTGGCTCATGGCAGCACTCTCACTATTGATGCCGACATGCCAACCTATGGCTTTAATCCGTGCAATACCATTTTCAACTTTTATCCCGTCTCGGAGGCTGATGGCCAATACCTACCTGATGGTGAATTCACCATTGATAGAAGAACAGTGGGCCAATTAGAAGGTTTGATCTTGGCTCCTAGAGGTTTGTAATACCACTTTTTACTCTTTAGAAACATTGGGAACTGAGAGATGGTGATGTAGGTCATATACGTGAAGCAAGCCATGGAAATTTTGCGGGTGCTATTTATGCACTTGATTATACATCGGTTCAACCTCATGGAGGTGCAGGTCTTCGTGATTTCTTTTCTACCACAGGTGCTTGTGCAGCATACAGTGGTTGTTTTCCGATAGTAGAGCAACTGGTAAAATGATGATTTAATGGGATGTCGATATTCAACTAAGGTGGGATCATCTTTTAGCAAAGTCCTTCTCAGCTGGAAAAGCGCCAAGATGATGATGCAGTGGAAACATCGACAACGACAACGACGTTGACTATCACGCCTGAGAGCATTACCAATACAGAGACACAAATCCTTACAGAAACAATTGAGATAACAAGCAACCATGAGGTGGTAAGCACGGCGACCTTGCTCTATACTACGGTACGCACACACACCGATCGCAGCACATACACTGATTTCAACACGATCTTTTCGACCCCGTCACCGGTGACATCCACACACGAAGTTTGGACAACCGAAACGGTGATGGGAACTGAACCTGATGTCCACTATGTTACTGTTTATGTGCGTCCTGAAGGTGATGGTGATGGGGGTCTTCCTGGCGAGGACAATGGTGGTAATTACCGCCATAATAAGCATCATGATCATCATCACAAACACAAGGATTACTATAAAAAAGGTGATCATGGACATCACAAACACAAGTATCACTATGAGATGGGCGTATACGAATAGATCGATCGATACAAATACAAACATGATAATAGTGCTAATGCTTATTCAATATACAGTTGAGAAATTTATTAATCTTCATCCTCTACAACTTCCTCTTTCTTGGGTGTATTATGTTTGGTGTGGACAATAGCATCCTCGGGAATCACTCCTTCGGCATTAAGGTAGCTAAATTCAGGTCCAGGATTGGAATCCACGGATGCAAGGAAAACGTCAAAGCTATCAAGACAATGAAAATCAATACAACAATGAACATCATCCAACGTGGTGGTCGTCGCCATGATACTTACATTCCATTCTCCCTTTCTTCCTCAAAAATCTTCTTGTAGATCCATGTTTGCTTAAACTCTTCAATGGTATCCTAAAACGGGGGTATCAGCATCACTTTACTCAAAAGTCAATCGCATCGATGAATACCTTGTACGCATCAAAGTCAATAGGATCACGTTCGGTGTGTTTGTTGTAAGCAGAATACACTGGGCGTTCAAGCAAAAGACCAACAGCAGGTGCTTTGGGAATATTGATTCTGGTTTCTTCAAACGACTTGTCGATCAACGACATTGCTGATTCACTGCGTACAATTAAAAGAGCCATAGCTATTTCAAAAGGTCAATAAAAGAGCCCCCCTCTCAATCCATATTTATACTCACAAATCATCTTGCGGATCTGATGCAACATAAAGGATTGTCCATGAAGCTTGACACTCAACCATTCGGCACCATTAATGTAGATGGGATCCTCCACCTGTTATCCATGTTTTCGTAAGCCAAAGGCATCAATGATAACAAAACACACAATCATACCTTGAGTTCCATAATGTATCGATTGCAGCTTCTATCCTTGGCACCACGACCGATGGTGTAGTTGTGGAAATTGTGTGTGCCAACAAACTTGCTGAGAGCCTCACGGAATTGAGCGAGTTGTTGCTCACTGATTCGATAGCTGTCTTTGGCACGAAGTTCTTCAGGGGTGCTGCGTGCAATATACTTTTCAACGTCATTTTGGAAGATCTTCAAGTCGTTTTCGGAACGAGGGGTGTCGCAAAGTTCCCTTGGTGATGGTGGCATGAATGCGTAAGTTGGCAAGAGATATTCGTAAACACGTGAATCACATTGGGTCTTTGCATGAAAAGATCGCTTTGTAGGCACATAACCTAATTCCATGATCATCAATTAATTACCCTCATTCTCTTTTCCTTCCACGACCTATACTCCAACCCTTACCCCAAACACGGATCTGATCCGGCAAATGAGAATTGATGTCTCGAATGATATCGTCACCAGGCATTGACATTTTCAAAGAAAGCACGTTGCCTGCAGCATGCACACCCTTGTCTGTCCTAGCAGCTCTCATCCATTGCACCTATTGTGATCCATGTTAGAGTGATACCCTGTATGTGTTGTTGTCATCCTTTTTATATACCTTTTTAGGATCATCCGAGTTGTCTTTGGAAATGGCACCCGCCTTGCATAATGCTTTGAATACATCATCTTCAATCGATTTGGCATTTGGGTTCCTAAAGTCGGGTGTTACAAATGATGCGTGCTACCTTGTCATCAACGATATGAAACGTACATTTGCATGCCCTGGTAACCAGTACCGTTGAATCCAATAAGCAAGGCCACCTTTTTCTTGGGTATACGTGCTTCCTTGGGACCATCTCTTTCAGGCCGATTATCCCCTCTGCTCTCCCACGATTGGTTCTTTCGAAAGTGATCGCGGCGTTGCTTGGTGGTTTTGTTGCGCTTGGATGCGGATGAAGACGCATTGTTGGAAGTTGATTTGCGCTTTTCACCAGTACGAGCCGTCTCCGGTTCTTCTGCCGGCATCGTCTCTGGTCGTGAAAAATAGGAACCCATGTCGACCAAGGAAAAGAAGAGTACTGCCTAAACGTGGGTGATGGCGGGAAAAATTAGCATTTTCATTCCAAGCCTCACGTGGTATAATCCGACATCGACTCTATTCCCCACACACACACTCCCACCTACTTATTTATCTACCTCCACACTCAATGTATATGTATCACTATGGACAATAATACAATTCATTGGATCACGTGCTGTTTATTTGATCTTGTTGATGCGATGGGTAGTTGTGAAAATATCTTGATTGATGGGATCAACTTTATCTTGGATACGTCCTAGTGCTTCATTTTGGCTATCAATTTCTCCACGCATAGCAGTGGCCATGTGTTTCAAGTGACCCGTAGCATGGCTGATATCATCTAGATTTTGATCAATCTCGTCTTCTATAGCATCATCTTCCGAATCAGCCTCAAATTGATATCTATTGCGATCGGATTTAGAGCGTCCACTTTTCGATGATGTTGTAGCGGGAGGTTGCTGCTGTGCACGGTTTGTCCGTGTTTGAGACTGGTGCTCGAATTGGCTAATAACGCCTCGTTCTTCACGATTGGCAGCATGCTTTTCTTGTGCTTGCTCTAATTCTCGACGCGCACGTGCTTTACGTTGAAATGGATTCTTGAAGGTTGGCAAAAAAATGGATCGGTTCAACCGTTTTAGCCGTCCAGCTTGTTCGGCTGCATGTTCGGCTTCAGCTCTTGCTTCTCCGATATTACGTTCCACATTCCCAAGTTGTGCTATGTTGATGTGTTATATCAATAAATGACATTAAAATGCGATTACGTACATGCTTGTTCACCAAGGTCGCTAAGTGTCGTGGTGGCAATGCCTTGGGCATCCGTAATGGTGCTAAGAGCATTTCGTGTGCTTGATAACGTATCCTGCTTGACGTTTCGTATGTCGCCTTTGAGGTCGTCCACTTGTCTCTCCCCATTATGATCAGCAAGACGACTCTGTGCATAAACATCTTCATCATCATCACCACCAGCAGTGGGTGTCCATTCTCTATAACGGCTTCGTGCTTTGCTACCATCATCAGCGATCATGCTGCTTTGTTCAGGCTTATGGTGCGTTGTTGCTGTTGTCTGTAATCTTTGTCGCTCGGCATGCTGACCACGCTGCTCGTTTCTATAATGCTGACGTTGGGGTGATGATGATGGTTGCTCTTCTTCCTGGAGCACCTCAAATGGATTTGTATTCGTTTTATTGCTATTGCTTGCTCTCCAGCTCATGTTTCGGGGGAAGAAAAAGGTTCATTCATGCAAAAATCTTGAACCCCCTTGTATTACAACCCAGCTTTAGAAACACGTCAAACCATTATTAAATAATATTATAAGATCTATTGATTCTTTTCTGCTACATCTGACACTTGCACATGTGCATCTGGTTGAGCTATTCCTCTACGCTTATAGAATAAAAGATAAGCAGCGTTTGTCTACAAGATAGAGCATTAACATACATGCATCAAGCCAACGTTTTATATCAAGCGAGCCTTACCTTGACGTTTTCTACATCATGTACAGGGCTGACATGTGAATCATTAAACTTTAGCCATTCCTTTGTTGCTGGATTTTGTGCAAATGCGGTATCTGGGGGTGATTCATTGTTGTTGTTAGCTATATGTGTTTGTCTCAATGACCAACAAAAAGATTACTTACAATGACCGCCACCCATGCCACCATAATGATTATCCACAGCATACAAGTCGTAAATTACTCGTGAGTCTTCTTCTAGATGGTCTGTATTATTGATGCTCTTGAGACGTTCACGATCAGCAGCTTTGCTAGCAACCATGTCTGTCAAATCGAGGCCTTCCACTGGAAAATCGACCATGACGTCAATTTTATCACGCAATGCTCGTGTGTTGCTGAATCGCTTGAGGTGGATAACCAAGATATCAGGCATATGCCATAGGTCAATCTTCTTTCTTGCGTGTTGATGTTTCTTGCATCGAGGGCAGTACCACAAGTCATTGTCGCCTAGAACTTCCTCTTTGCTAAACTCTTGTAGACACTTTCCAAGGCTCAAGTCATGTTGTTCAGCTGCTGCTCCTCTTCCTCCACGATGTTCATGGTCTTCATCACCACTGTCTTCAGCCATATCATCCCATCCAGTGGTATTAATACGAGGTGAAGAACCACCAAATGTTGTAGTGAATACTTGCTCGGCTTTACGTCTTTGCCATACAGCCATCATAGCTTCTCCTTGTTTGATGAGTGGTTGATGTGGAATGATGCGACGATCGAAATTGGTGGTCGTGGTGGTGTGGCTGCTCTTGTTGCTGCTACTGCTATTGCTGGTGTTGCTTGCTTGATCATTCGTAGTGTCAACAGCATCTGTGGGTTGCTGTGATACTATCTCCTCATCATTCGAGTGAGCTTCTAGTGGTTGTTGTTGTGGTTGTGTTGTGGAAACTTTACGGCCTGCTCGTTCTTCGAGATCTTCCACCGCATCTCTGGACATTGAAGTGGCAACAGTCAATGGAATAGGACTTTCAGGATCTTGTATATCAGAGAACATTTTCATGGCGAACAAGTTCTTCATAGGGCCCATACGACGACCACCAGCTGCTGTCACCGCTGCAGGTGTATGAATCATTTTTGGCTGTTCCATTTCCTCACCATCCACATCCATAGCTGAACCACCTGCAGGTGATAAATCCATCATCTTATCATCCTTAATCTCTTCCAAGAGCTTGATAGCAGCAAATCGTTCAATGTGACGCACGACATGGCCATAGATTGCATCCGCATCACGTACATCCTCTGGGGGAATAGCCACTATTACTGGTCCACCAAACTGTTCAAGGTATTCACGACCTTCTGCAGCAATAGAACAATACACTGGTAACACGACCCATGTATCCTCGTCCTGGTACTCGGTTGGTTCAACAGGCGATGATCCACCTTCAAGCTTTCGTAGCTTGCTCTTCCTCGAGGATGATGCTGAATGTCGTGTTGATGTAGGCATCGTACATGGCAACTCGTATACATAAATCGAATCTTGAGGTAAAATGTTGGATATAGGTTCATAGTGTGGAAACATTTTGAAGATGCCATGGTCATAAATCTCAACCACCAAAAGCTTTTGGATGCATAGTCAATATACACATATCGTTACGGCATATAGAATTTAAACTTACTTTTGATGGATCATCCACATTGCATCGCTTGGCAACCTGCTTTTTCAGATCCTCAATGCTGGCAGCATTCTCAAACGTGATGGTCATCTTTTTTTGTCGTTCGGATGGGTCGTACGGCACATAAACGATCTTCAAGTGTGTCAGCTTTGATACAGGGAGGGGAAGTGATAGATACATGAATGGATCAAACATGATGGATATCTAGTAGGGTTACACATGAATACGTTGAATAGACATGCATGCATACATGGGTTGCTATTTACCTTGCCACACTCATTGCATTCTAACCGGCTTTTGAATTGACCTTGGAAAATGTCGACGATCACAGAGTCGTTTCTCGCTTTGTGGTAATCCCAGCAACGCACAGCGATATCAGTGTCTGGCATGTCATCAAAATCGGGCATCTCCACGTATGGCTTTTGCTTGATTCGGTTGAGATCTTCATGCAAGCCATCAAGTAAAAATGAAAGTAGCTCTTGTGAATCATGTTGTCGAAATCCAATAAACGTGGAATTGTAACGTGATATGATGTACTAGATATCCCCATGTTGAGTATATACAAATCCCCAAATTCTGCCATCGTCCCCTTACCTTGAATTTACGTGGTGTCAAATGTGAGTGATAACCACTCCACAATTCACGGATGAGCGCACCATAGGCCTCTGCAAGATCACCTTGCATACCAAGAGGGTTGTCACGGTTCAACTCGCCATTGTATCGGCCCTCTAATATACCAATTAGCATGGCAAGAAAGTCATCGTCATGTAGAACAACATACCAAGAAAATAACGAGTCAGCTCTTGGGTATTGCTTAAACATTGAATAGCTGAATTCATATAGCAAGTGTTGCCCATGTTGCTGAGACCACAATAGCCCTTCTCATATTGGGGTTGCTTTTCTTCCTCTTCCTCGTCAACCATGGCATCCTCGGTCTTTTTAGTGACATTGGTGTCATCGAGATTGTATAAATTGGACAATGACGTCGCTTCCTCGTCATCCGATTTGGTCGCATTTGCATCAGTGGTCTCTGTACTTTGATCCGTTTTTGATGGTTGTGAAATATCCATATCGGTTGCAATCCAATCAAGCTGTTCATTGACCTGAGGAGGAGGATGATGATGATCAACATTGTCGTCGTTATTAGGTGTCGATGCCATTTCTTCTTCCACACCACCGGGTGCTTCTTCGAGTTGAATAGCAAATACACGTGTGTTGTGTGAATCCATTTCAGCAATGGTCTGCTTTGGTTTGCTGAGATCAATTTGCGCTTGCCGAGTAATCGACTTTTCATCATCATTGTCGGTCATCTTTGCTTGCTCATCCACCGTCCACAAGGAAAAGCTCAAATGATCCAAATGCGTCGTGTTTTTGATGGCTCGTAAAAGATCACCTAAAGTGGAATTGGGCGAGATGCTGACAAGTGCCGATGATGATGGTTGCTGCTGCTGCTTGTTCGACTCATGCTGAAGAATATGGATGGTATATTGTGGATAAAGGAGTGGCTGCACACCATTCTCTGCCACTGATCGTGTAATGGCTGTTGGTTGAAACGTGTACCTGAAATTACCTATGAGCCTTGTGCAACCAACAAGAAGTTGACGTGCTTCTCTTACTTTTTTGATAATAACTCCCATGCTGCAGAAGGCAACAACTCTACATCTTTTGATACTTGAAGATTCGGTACAAGCTCGCCCTCGTTGTCAAGCAAAGGTCGCATATCAATCACTCCATCCAACGTCGTCGTAGTATCCAAGGATGATGATGAAGGTGCCTCGTTTGTAGTGTCAGTTGCGTTATGCTGCTCTTGCCACCGAAGGATCCAATCGGTAGGGACAAGGTACCACCGATCGCCTTGCACGTAATCGGTTTGCTGTTGGAGATTTTTCACGCGATCGACGTCATTGAGCTGATCCTGCTGTTGTTCTGTGGCTGTTCGACTGATCTTTAAGGGTGGATCATGTTGGTCGGGTAGTACTGGCAACTGGAATGTGTCGTTGTCTTGGGGCATAACGGTACGTTATATTTCCACCAACTCGTTTTCTTTTTTGCAGGAACAAGGTGGCCACTCTTTTCTCCGCCTGCATCATATTAGAACATTGCAGAGTCTTATTGGCTGAAGATGAAGCGACGCGTCAGCTACAGATCCGCTTGTCCCCCTTGTTAGCTCTTCCCTTCCATCACGTGGTTTAAACTTAGCTTTCGTGTTCAAGGAGTTGATCATTACAATAGCAATTCAATAAAATGAGCCATTCCTATAGCAACATCAATGATGTATATGCGAATGATAAAAATAGACGTATGTGCATACACACATTGCTAAGCTCAAGCAGCGGTTACGAGTACGTGCCATTTGAGTTCATTGTGGGTGGTACTTTGGCCAATCAGATGTAGGTTTTTCATTGTCTTTGATCAAAGATGCTCGATCATGCATCTGCCAAAGCCGAGGCGTTTGATGCATCGTACATACGACTATTACAATTATGCTATGATTCCACAAAGCGCGCCATCTATGCAACAGAGTTGAAGGGATAGTATTCTATGCGATCTTTGTTCCATCATGATGTATACATAAAGCCTCAAAACGTTGTTAACTCGAAAGCGCAGGATGATGCCTTCATTATCAATCGCTCTTTATTTGGGTTCATGATCTTGAATTGAGTAATCTAGCACTGTTGCCAATAAAAGTTTCTATGCTCCAAGAAGTCATCACTATAATAAGACCCCAACCTGAAACAGCCGTGTATCAATAAGAACATCTTCAAGTTTCTGAATGAGCCAAATCCTCCACGAATGTGCTTTGTGAAACTCTTTTCCAAAAGTTTGTGATTTGAGATGGCTGGTGTTCATTCTTCACTATGCATGGCGGCGGGTGGTCCTTGTGTGACAATGTGAATTCTTTCATCGCCCTGGAAATTGTTCCCTCCCAACCCCTTCTTTCACATGATATTACAATGGATGCTTGGAAAGATTTATGTCTAAAAGCGTTTGATGGTGACGAAGAGGCGAACCATGTAATCCTTTTCCTTGAAGGATGTGGAAAACTGACATCGACAGGATACGCCGTGTCAGCAGCAGCAGCGTCGTCGAACAAGCCAAAGGACGAAGAACTATTGGAGGCGTTAGGATTTGTCAAGGACGATGGTACAATCTACACATTGCCAGGGGACCAATGGTCGCAGTACCTGGAATCAAGACGACATTGGCGTATGGAATGGCATGCTGATCGTCAGCGTGAGTTTGCTAGGCAACTACACGAGTGCCTGGCTGAGGTGAAACCATTATCAACAGGAGCAGTAAGCGATCCACAACGCCTTGCCTTGGTCACCGAGTTTGCCCAACGATTTGCCACTGATGTGGGTTCGATACCTCTTTTCCGTGGTCTTGTTGGTTTCATTCGATATCAGCTTTTCAAGAATCGGCTTGCTGAATGGCGTTGCTATGAATACGCACTCACACAAAATGGCCATGATACCATTGTCGAATATGTACGCTTCCTTAAAGGTGTTCTTGGATTGGAACTGGTTTATCCGCCTACTACGCAACAATCATCTCAATCAGCCAACAACGGCGATGTCATATTGGATGTTCAAGAAGAACCAAATCAACCTCGCGACGATGATGTACCAGTATTGATATGGCGCATGAATGGACAACTTTCAGATCACCATCTATCCGACATCTTGCGTGTACTGCCTCGAGAACAAGGCATTCAACAATACTCATTGTCAGATATCCCACGACATAGCCACATGTCTCCAATTATGGGCATTCATCATCCCCAGCTATTTATTCAGTGGATATGTCAATTTCTCCATCACTGTTTTCGATCCATCTTTTCATCAAGGAAATAATGTCTTTGTATCTTTTAAAGTGATTGAAGAAAAACATGTGTGTTTGTGTGTGTGTGTGTCTACAGTATGAAGAAAGGGAGAAAAAGACAACGAATGTAAAGGTCGCCTTTACTTTTTATACAACTGTGCTTAACCATTAGCCTTGGCTGCATCCGCTGCACTTTGGCTTGAGGAAGACATAGGAATGCTTTGAGGCTGATTTTGATTGGGCTTGCTACCAGTAGTCTTGGCATATGAGTAAACGAGACCTGCAATGAAACCTAAGTAGCACAAATTTACACGTGAGTTTGATCATACTCGATGAACGAAAACTTTCTAGCATTCCTCCAACTCACCGATAATGATAGCTGTCACATTGGCAAACGTAGCAGGATCACCGAAAAAGAGGATACCAGAAGCGGCAATGGGCAACTTGTTGAGAGCACCAACCATGGAATAGGTGGTGGAAGAAGTGGAACGAACGCACCAGGCTGATGCATACGACATGGCAAAGGCAGAAGCACCCGAAAAGATCATGGCATAAATCATTTGGGAACGAATTTCCTCAGGGCTAAAAGGAGATAGAGAGAGAGATCATCAATCACCATTCCCTATAGCATATCAATAAAGCCATACTTACAAGGTGCGTTCAAAGTTCTCTGCACTCCAATCCTCAAAGATCAATGATGGAATGATAAGGAGGGGGATCGACAAAAGATTGTTGTAGTACACGGTATCAAAGTCCTTAAAGTTGGTAAGCTTGATGCGTTTTCTCATGTAAAGGACAAAGGCGGCAGATGAAAAGCAGTTGGTAGCCATCCAAAAGTAACCGATCAAAGTCGTATCCATGCGTGCAATCTCGGAAAGCGTTTCTGATACATCAGCCCAGCCTGCAATCAATGATGATAGAACCTAATCGCACACAATCCCATATCATCAATCATTGAGGATCTCTCTCTCGCTCGTTCGCCTAACCCAATTTACCATCAATCCAAATGAAATAAGCATCATCTGCGTAACGTTGCCGCCAAACCAAAGGACTTCACCATAGGCAATCAAGATAATAGTCAAATTCTTGAAGATAGTATAGATGGGGATCCTCAGATATTGGAGCGACTTGGAACCAGTGTAAATCATAGTGACCAAAGCACCAGCAATAGGGAACCACTTGCGTGCCTCATCCTTGTCGAAATCTCGAAACTTGATCAGATTTAGGAACTTGAAGGTCTGCAATAGTGCTACGGTCACCACATTCTGTAGAGCCATGGCATTAGTAGAGTGTTTTGACGATGCGTTGCTAGAATGTACCTGGACTGTGAGCAATAAAAAGTTCATGTTGAAGCCATAGCCGCTAACCACATATTTGTTGGTCACTGTCATCAAGATGCTAGCGAAACAATAGCTGGCAATGGGTAATGCAGCACGCATGCCAGGAGAGAGTGTGAAAATGGAGGGAGCTACAATGGATGGACCTTGTGCTGTTGATGGTGGTGGTGGTGGTGGGGATGTTGGTTTGCCGTCATCAATGGCGACCTTGTATTCAGCTTTCGCGTCGGTCATGGCCCGGATTGAAAACGTGTAGTTGTGTGTATAGAAAAGAGCGTCAACCCAAGAAGTAAACGTGGGGGAAAAGAAAGGAAAAGAGGATGCAAATGGTGTAACGCCTTGTCTTGGCGATAGAAGCGTGCAAAAAGAATAAAAGCAAAAGGGCGAGAGAAGGAGTGAAAGATTCTCCCAGCAACAGATTTGGTCAATTTTGAGCAAGAAACGTCGATCGTTCTTCCTTGAAAAGGCATCAAAGTCGCACAAAACAATCTTGCGCCTTCATTCTTTCATGTACATGTGCCATACATGTCGCACTAACTACATGCCTGTATATCATTAGCATGCTTCCAAAGCAGTCTCCATATGCCAAGAAGTGTAGGATGACGCTAAATCATAACGGGCAGTGACTGACTACCATTATTCGTCGCTTTTGTACATTTACCTTCGCCCAATAATGTATCTGTTTTGGAAATTTAACTAGCGGCGGTCCGCTAAACTTCATTATCTTTGGGTCAATGCTGACATCAACCACTGTGTGTGTTTTGTATTATATACAGCCATTCTGTTGAATTCGGATACGATGATAGCTTTTATTCGTGTGATGGAGACATGATCACAAAGACTAATGTATGTCCTAGCTCTAACCCTTGGCACCTACTGAAAAGATGATCAATGGATCCATGATGGATGAAAGAGACTTGTGGTGATGGTTCTTTTCATTTATATGAATACATATGAATGTTCCAGAAGGAATGCGTGATGCTGTAACCGCTTCTCATAGCTTTGGTTTGCGGTAGTAACCGCTGATGATCCAGTTTGCAGTTTCCTTTCGAGGATAATATAGAATCCAACGCCACAAAGACAACAATGAACACACAAAGCAATGAAAAACTACATACCAGAGATGATGACAAAGGACAATGTGTGAGTATTCTCAATTCGTGGGATCACGCAAGGTCTCTTTGGACACGTATCAAATGATGGATTCTTGATAGTTGGTGCAATGGCATATGTACATGATCACGAACGTGCAACATCCTTGCTTGTATATGTGGGGAAATAGTAGACCATGGCACTTAATCCACCTTTGCATATGCACCTCGGGAGGTAAAATTGAAAGATTATGTAAGAGTGTAGGCTTTGTCGAGCAAAATGAGGAGGCATCACCCCATTAAGAGAGCTATACATTACAATGACAACAACAGCAACAATGAAAGTAGGATAACAATGGAACACTAGAGATCGTCTCAAAGATTAGCACATGGATCACTCACAAAGAGGAATATCCACCTTTAAATTATGGAAGAAAGAAAGAGATGTTTGGGACTTAAATATCGGTAGCATGATCTTTTGTTTTATATGTAGGCAGTGACCATGGCATTTTTGTGATTACAAAAAGGCTAAATGTTTGTTGGGAGTCGCCATGGGCTGATTATTGTTGGGGGGCATCTTCCCAAAGAGCCTTAGTATTGACGGTGTTCAAGCATCATCTTCTTAAAATGCAGCTCGAAAGAGCTTTGACACGAGCTATGTACTTATTAATCCATCCCACCATCAAGAAAGGAACGTTTTGTAGGTGTTCGAAGGTGTCGTGATCAAATTTTAACCCCAGGCACCTCCAGAACCACAATCTTCTTGAAACGAAAGAAGCCATCATGGAGACGTGTTTTAAACGCAGCATCTTTGGGCGGTAAACATTCAAGTATAACCTCATCCTCATTCAATGAGACAATAATAGGAATACAAGCGTCCATTTCAAATCTTTATGTATAGAATAGAATGAGCTAGCGAGTACTACATTTGATCATGTCATCCTCTCATCCCAAAATGGGGGAGTTGAATTCGGCTATTCATTTAGTCCGAAATGCCTTGCACCAACACCAAATGTGTGTGTAAACTCAGGCACTTGTGCTCCTTTACCGCGTGCCGCTTTGCATATCCATGGCTACTCTTCGAACCCGAAACAAAAGGGACACCCATGACGACAATGCGTCTCCATTGAGTCTTTCCAACAAGTCCAGCCGCGACACCGGTGCTCGTCAAGGAGCTGCAACCTCTTGGGCACGGCTAATCTTTTATTGGATTGCAGCCATAGCGATCGCCACCCATCTTCATTACAAGCTACCTTCCCCCAAACAGCATCGCGGTGTGGATCCTGATACTGGAGTGACCGAGTTTTCAGAACACAATGCGATGAAGACGATATCCTATCTTAGTGACACGCTTGGCTATCGCAAGTATCTTCCATCCATCCATGCAAAATGTGTGAAACGCTTTATTGACATGATGACTTTTTATAGGCATTGTGGGTACTGTGGAAGAAGCACAAACATTCGAATACTTGGAGAATCTTGTACGCGAGTACAAACAAGAAGCACAAGGTATCCCTGGTGCCCCCAAGTTTGACATTTGGGTCCAACAAGCAACCGGTACACACCGCTTTGATATCATGGACAACAGTAAGTGGATGATGATGATGATGGTAAGGAAATCCCATTGACAAGTTAATCATTGAATTGCATAGTGGTATTCAAGGCATACACCAATGTGACCAATATCATTGTCCGTTTATCATGCCCGGAGGACTCATCAGCCGACCGCTCCTGTGAAAAGAACGCCATCCTCCTCAATTCACATTTCGATACAACACTCGGCTCTCCCGGTGCCACCGATGATGGATCAGGAACAGCTGTCATGCTTGAGATTATTCGTGTATTAAGCAGACGTGATTGGAGCGAGTACAAGAATGCTATTGTCTTTTGTAAGAACGTGGTGGTGTTGTTGAAAAGCATGTGATTATACTCATATACCATTTATAGTATTCAATGGTGCAGAAGAAAGTTTGCAAGATGCATCCCACGCATTTATTACTATGCACGATATCAAAGACACGTACGTATATACACAATTCCCCTTCATTCATGGCAAAAAGAGCTAAGTCATTTGGTGTAATAGCATTCGCTCTGTTGTCAATATCGATGCATGTGGTACAACCGGCCGCGAGATTCTTTTCCAAGCCAATTCTAGAGAAATGATCGACGCTTACAAAAACGCGCCTTATCCACATGGCACGGTGGTGGTAATGTGTCTCTATTTGTACCAGGTCTTTAACAATGATGATACTTATCATGATAACTATAGGCCAACGACGTCTTTCGCACTGGCTTGATCCTCTCGGATACCGATTTTAGACAATTTGTGCAGTACGGCAATTTGACTGGTATCGACATGGCCATCTACAAGAATTCATATTTGTACCACACTCATCTGGATATCACCGAGAACTTGGAGCCTGGAGCCATTCAACATCTTGGTGAAAACACTTTATCTATCGTCGACTACCTTGCAAGAAACTCAACATTGTCCAACATTGAACGCACAAGCGAGGTCGTGTTCTTTGACACCTTGGGTAAGATGATTGCTGTCATAGTGGAATACAAGCATCCTCCTCTTACATAGGTTTGATTTAGGTCTCTTTTTTACGGTGTACTCGTGGTCGACAGCTTTCGTGTTGCAAATGGGAACAGCCTTATTGACCTTTGCATTCTTTGGCTACATTGTGTACAAGACACATCATTCATCTCCTTATCGCTCGGTCCCCCATATCCTTACTGCCTATGCTCAATCTACCGGCGCCGTATTCTTGAGTGCGATCTTTGCTCTTGTTGCACCTGTTCTTATTGCTTTATTCTTGATGTCAAATCCTGTGTGTCGTCACATGGCTTGGTTTGCTCGTGAATGGTATGGTGCAATCATCTTTTGCCCCATGTCGTTGCTTGGCATGTATGGTGCTCAGTATCTCCTCACGTACATTTTCCCTTCGGGTCATGTGGATCGAGAATACGGTGCATTTGTTTCCGTGGTGCTTGGATTTGGTATCTCGACTCTTTTGACAACACTCACCAGCGTGGCCAGCTCATACATTTTCTGGATCTATTCCTCGATTCTTGTATTCGCTCTCGCCGTGAACGAATTTGTGCTATCACCATCCTCCATTGACAAAAGCAACGCTCACAAGCCAAAGATCCATTCTATCACCTATGCCATCTCGTCATTCCCCCTTGCGTTGCTGTACACGGATTACACTTACGCCATGATTGATATTTTTGTCCCACTCACTGGTCGAATGGGCGTTGATACACCTGTTGATATCATTATTGGCGTCGTGTTTGGAATGGTTATTTTCATGACCGTCTTGCCATCCTTGGCTCATATCCATCGCTTCGGCAAGCAATGCTTACGTAAAATCTTGATCGCTCTTGCTCTCTTCCAAGTCGCTGTCCTTGCTATTATCATGGTTCAAGGTGGTTCTTATGGTGGATGGGCATTCCCTTATGACGAGTATCATCCCAAGCGTCTGTAAGTATGAATGATATCGCACACACGCAAACACAATAATACTCACACACCATCCCATAGCTTCATCCAGCATCTTAAGAACCTGACATCAGGCGAATCACACATTGGTGTTGCACAAGCTGATCATGGCCCATACATTGAAACGGTGGTATCATCGATTGAAGAGGCTCTTGGTGTCAAGGCTGAAGAACGAGCTGGTCCCGAACATGCAGATGAATGGGCTTCCATTTATCCATTCAGCGCCTTCTTGGGTGGTTATCGTTTCAACACTGAACCTTATATTCGTGCAAAGGACAACAGCCAAAGCACATCCTTGATGGATCAACTCACTGGTCCTTTCCCTCAACTCAGCATCCAAAATGATGTCTATGATCCTGCTACTGGTATCCGCTCCTTCTCTATTGCATCCGTTTCACCTTCCTATACATGGACTGTTATTGCTTTTGATGCTCAAGTGGTTGATTGGAGCATTGCCGATGAAGAACCCCTTCCCGAGTTTTCACATTATGTGGTGCGTCACGTTGTTGGATACGGCAATGATGCATGGAAGCTGGATTTGTCCGTCAAGGTACCCGAGGATAAGCGTGCTGAAGCTGAAAAGGGCACATGGAAGATGCGTTTCGAGTTTACGGCATTGGAAAAAGAGAACTTTGCAGGTCTTGGTATTGAACGTGAAACCAAGAATGGCGTTGGTATCATGCGGGTCGTACGTGACGTTTTGCCCATTTGGACAACACCCACTTGGCTCAGCAGCGTTGTGCAAGTCTGGGAACTGTAATATTACTAGTGACAACCAATTCATTATCTCTGTAGAAATCACCTTGCATGAACATAAACCTAATCCTATAAAGCCAAAGTGAAATTTGTAGCGCACATGTATCATTGTTGGATGGTCTATTTGGGATCTATAGGAAGGAAACGGATATACTTATGTCACCTACAAATTTGTCAATCGTTACTTTTCCATCACTTTGACTCATTACTCCATGGTACTTGACCACTTTATCAGTTTGATAAATCATGACAACAATACCCACGCCCAATCGCATATAAACAAGGCTCTATGCACCAACACTATCACACGCCCTCTCTTTCTACTTGAACGCGCATCATCATCAATGGCCTTTGGTAAGTTTCAAGGATAGTCTTTAGGTAAACCCCAAAATGATGGCACTCATGATGCATTCATCTATTACGTACATAGCCCACTTTGTTGCTTTACCATTTGGTGCGCTCATTGCTGCCTAATGGCATTTGGCTGTATTCCTTGATGGATCTTTTGTGGTAGGTACCTATCATTTATAGGCAACCTCTCAATCTGATGAGAAATTTGGGACTCCTTTGTAGGTGACATTAGTACATGCGGGCAAAAGCGACCTGCGCAACAGAAGTGGATTGGACACACCGGCTTGTCATTATCTTGGATCATTTATTGCGGGATACAGAATTGACGATGTGGATGCAAGTGGAAGAAGTTGAAGTTGACATAGACTCTTACGATATGTACAAAAGGGGCGAAAAGTGTAGTGTTGCATCGAAGGCGAAAAAGATGGCAAATGCAGAAGCACATGGCATTCAGAAAGCTGCAAGAGCTGCTGTTGGAAGGAAGATTTATGTACTATTAGAGCATGATCAATTTGAGCTGTCTGGCTCCGAGTAGAAGACGCCTGCATGTACACAAACGACCATGGAACGACAATACAACTAAAACATCCGAGTGAATGCATGCATCCTACAACGTATACTGCAACTACCTTTCAAGGATCATGAACAAAGTGAAAGTATACAAGTGCTCACTATGGAATGGCAAGGTAATAATTATTGGTCGCTATTGCGAATTGGAACACTAGGATAACCGGATTGGGATAATAGGTTTCACGGGACAATTGCTGTCTGTCAAGAGGGGTGATCAGCATTATGTGGTTGGATCCTTATGTAGGCAGCATCGATTTGCCAACAAGCTTTGTATGACATTGAAGACTTTCATGATACGCTCAAGCACCTTTTTTTATTTCAAAGTTGGTGAATTGGATCATGCTGCTAGCGTTAGCTATAAAGTTGTACCAATCCCCTTTTTCTACCCCAAGAATACATGTTTACATACACTCACACACATGCATCAAAAAGAGATTTTTGCTTTATCCCACTCAAAAGTGGTTCATGGTATATCATTTGAGTCATTGTGTAGAATAAAAGGGAGAAAACACTTATGGCATCATGGGGGGTTTGCCGACACCACCAGCTTCGTTGAACACGAGAAGTGAAATCTTGTATGCAAGTTCATCTGTTTCAGCACGAGTAGCAGCTTCGGCGTAGACACGCACAGCATCTTCGGTACCAGAAGCACTAGAATAAAAAAGCGACTTAGCTACATGACTCCTTCTTCTTCCATAGTCGCCATTATCTTACCGAACAAAGGAACGGCCTTGCGAATACTTTGCAACAGTAGCATCGATCTTCTTTTGAAGACCTTCAGGCTCCACAAGCTGACGCTCAGCATTGGTAGTCTTGAAAATGGTACGATCGGCCACAATCACCTTGACAAGGCGGTTAGGCAAGTCTGTGTAAGCTTGATCCCACTCTTCAAGGCTCCATTGTCGGTTGGTAAGGATGGCTTCCACAAGCAACATATCTGAGATGGCATCACCCACAGTTTGGTTGATCAACTCGGTGAGAGCTTGCAATTGAGAAATGGCACGCTGTTGGGCAGGTGTCTTACTATAGGTCGAATAAGTCATTTTGTAATACAATAACCCCCTCCCAACCATGAATACTTACGCCTCTGCATTCTTGATTGTGTGAAGAGCCTCAGGGCTGAAAAGGACGGTGCCATGACCGTTAGCTTCAAAGTAGACACCAATGTCATATTTCTCGGCTTCGTGATGCAAATGCTTCACACCGGTTGGGACGCAGGAAACAGGTACTTTCTATGGTAGGGCATTAGACAGTAATCATGATGATTGAATTTTCCCTAACATACCAGGACATTGGTAAGGTAGTTGGTGGAGCTACCATTGGCATAGGCGGTTTGAACAACGCCGACCTTGATGGTCTCGATATTGGCATCTTGAACAAGCTCCATGATGAACATAGCAGCAAGGCCAGCAATCTTGTCACCATCCAACAACTTGAATACGCCATCTAAATAAAGAAACGTTAATCCCATATACATAAAAGCGCTCCTTTTCTTTGCTTACCATTGTTAGCGTAATAGTAGACGATACGATCAGCATCACCATCGTATGAGCAATAACGACCACCAGGAACAAGAGTAGAGCCGACAGGAGCCTGTTGCTTGGTCTTGACGTGATCGGCGCCACACTACATACACAAGATAGAATCTTAGTAATGATCCCAGCCATTGACACCAGTCCCATTCGTTACTACTTACGTCCTTGTTCAACTTGCCCAAAGTGGTGGTATCTTTGTTGACGACATCAATCGACAAGACATCGGATCCAATATACTCGGCCAATTCAGCAAGCTTGGGAGCACCTACACCGTTACCGCAATCGACGTGCAAGGTAGAGAGGGTAGGTTTACCAGCCTATAGTGTGTGTGTGTGTGTGTGACACAAGCAATGAATGGGCCCACTTGTGAGCAAGCAATGGCAACATTTCCCGCTATTCGATTTTCCTTCTCAGCTTTACTTACCACAGCTGTCTTGAAAGCTTGGGAGAGCTTCTTGTAATAACCTTCTTCAGTAGGCTCACCATAGGCATCAGGAGTGTTGGCGGTGTTGAGGCAGCGTACAAGATAATGAAGCATGGGAGTGGTCTTCAATCCATAACCAGTGCTCTTGGCTCCAGCAGCCTTCAATCCTGATTCGAGGCACTTTACAAGTTCAGGGCAGCTTGGTCTATATCCAATCCAATGTTAGCTTGTTTGATGTTTCAAAAAGATGTTTTACCCAATCATACCTGGTATCATGAGCGTAAATGACATTAGCAGGTGCTTCCAAGTCAATGCTATGTGCACTGACGATTTGATCAATGACCTGTGCAAGGGTCTCGCCGTCGTTGGCATTGGCAAGTTGGGTGGCGTAAGTCTCCCACGACTGTTCAAGCATCTCACCACGAGGATCAACCAATTTGACACCATTATCCTGATACGCAAAACGTCAGCTTCCAGACACACCCCAACGCGTCAATAGTCATCAGCTCACCTCTTCAGGATTGTGGGATGCAGTAATCATGACACCGATAGTAGCACCATTGAGCTTTTTGGAACGAAGCGTAGCCAAGATGCCGACCTTGTACATGATAGAGTCGAGCAGATCAGCCCTGAGTCAATGGCGGTGAGTTGTCATCCTTCATCTTGCTTGCACACCTGTCAACGGACGCGTTTGGGTCTCACAAGACTTACTTTGTACGGAAACCAGCAGTGCCGTAGGCATACTTTTCAGCCTTGTTAGGGATAATGTTGCTCTTGATAGCGTTGTAGTCAAAGGTCATCGTCATGGAGGGCAATAGAAAAAAGAGATATGTGTGGAAAGAAAGAAACCAAGGCGTTTGATTGCTCGCCCCCCAATGTCTATTTTAAGCGATGAGCGTGCACGGTGTGTCACCAAGGCAACTAAAACAGGATGCACGAGCCGTTGTTCCGACATTATTACACACATGTTATTCTTGATCTCCTCTTCACGCAATAAATGTAACGTTGTTTGACATATCATATCAATGGATGATACCCCGGGATAAGTAGCTTTGTACCTGAAGAAACCCTTTTTGGGGAGGTGCCTTACGCGTTCTGCATGCAACCCTATGCGGATCATTTGCTACATTTACTGCGCACAATAGGACACAATACAATGGATGAGATGTTTGGGCTTCTACTATAGTACATCAACGGCAGCTTCTTCAATCCTCATTTAAGGTATGCCCTTGCAATGGGATACATTCACGGTTTGCGCGGAGGATCAAATTCATATAGACGAAGATGCGTCCAGCTAATAGAATAACAATGAAACTCGACATGTTGTTCGCCTCCATTATGCCAGCTATGTAGTCTAATGATGAAAAGCTCATGGAATAAAAGTCATAGAAACGAACAACCCCTCGCATGGTAGTCATTTGAATTGCAACTTGTATATGCAACGTTCACTGCTGCACACACCTTTATATCTTGACATGTACCATTCTATTATTAGCATTGCGCTAAGGATACTATGTATCTTCGTTATTGAGCAAAGGGTAATAAAATGAGGAGTGATGAGCCATGAAAAGGACCTGAGATCACGTGACGTTGTGTATCTTCATGGTAAGCCGAAGATAGTGAAGGCTAGAAAAGTCACCTCTTGTTGCACGTTAGCTGATATAGCATCATTGATACAAGGGTAACGGATAGTGGATATGCAATCACCTCTATGGGAGAATAGGCGGTTGAATAGATTAGGTCGTGTCATTCATCCGATTTTGAGACGAGGCCTTCTCGCACGCCATACATTTCTTTTCATCCACGATTCTATTTCTTATTGATGGAAAAGATCATGTTCTCGGCGAGGACATTTATTGATTCGCGATGTGTGCTGACAACAAGGTATATAGATGGTGTGGAAAGGAGGAGGACATGGTGGGGTAGTAGTAGTAGTACTCTTTATATGGTTCATCACAATGAGTCACAGATTTTAATTGCAAAAATGAAGGGGATAGTGGGGCTGTCAACTCCACACAGCGTGTGTTCTATATCGGCATGTTTCGACTTCCTAGCAACCTCACGCGTGGCAACTTGTTGCGCCAACAATTCCAACGCTATACCAGCAGCTATGCCCATTTACAGCCAAGCAAGCAGTCATTGATCCCATCGAGTGGTGTGTATCCTCTGGGCTTCCGTGCAGGCGGTGTTCATGCTGGTGTCAAAAAGAATGGCAACAAGGACATTGCCTTGATCGTCTCGGATCGTCCATGTGCTGGTGCAGCCGTGTTTACCACCAATGCCTTCAAAGCAGCTCCTGTGTTGGTGAGCCAAGAGACCTTGCAAGAGAATAGCAATGCGATCTTTGCTGTTGTGACGAATTCGGGTTGTGCCAACGCGGTGACAGGTGCCCAGGGTCTTGAAAATGCACGACGCATGCGATCGACAGTGGATAATCTTGTGGAGCATCCTATGAGCGCCCTTACCATGTCAACGGGTGTTATTGGACAACAATTGCCTATCGACAAGATCGAAGCTGGTATCAAGCATGCATATACAGTGTTATCCTCTGAACACGATGATGGATGGTTCAAATGTGCCGAAGCTTTCATGACAACGGATACCTTCCCCAAGCTCAAAACAGGACAATTCGCTGTGGATGACAAAAAGGTGACAATGGCTGGTATCGCCAAAGGTGCAGGCATGATCCATCCCAACATGGCCACTTTGCTTGGATTTATGGTGACCGATGCCTATGTGGAGCCCGCTCTTCTCAAAAAGACACTCAAGTACGCCACCGACCGTAGCTTCAATTCGATCAGTGTGGATGGCGATATGAGCACCAACGATACCATTGCCGTCCTTGCCAATGGCGCTAGCGGTGTCCGCATCGAATCCGAGGATAGCCCAGCATACGAACTCTTTAGGGATCAGCTGACATCATTCGCCGCTGAATTGGCTCAGCTCATTGTCCGGGACGGTGAAGGTGCTACCAAATTTGTCACTATTCATGTCAAGGTATGGAGGATGGATGAGTATATGGGGTGATGATGTTGAAGAAATGAATAATAACCACTTTTATATATACATAGGGTGCTAAATCGTTTGAAGATGCCAAGCAAGCTGCATCTCATATCTCTACATCGATGCTCGTCAAGACAGCTCTTTATGGACAAGACGCTAATTGGGGCCGCATTTGCGCTAGTCTCGGTCATTGCGGTGTTGACGTTGATGCCAGCAAGGTCAGCGTCAACTTTGTTCCAGCTGATGGATCGGAGAAGTTAAAACTTATGGTGACTGGGGAACCTGAACAAGTGGATGAGGATCGAGCTGCCGAAATCCTAAAGTTTGAAGACTTGACCATTGAAGTCGATCTCAACCTTGGTGACAGTGAGACAAAGTTCTGGACATGCGACTTGAGTCACGAGTATGTAACCATCAATGGCGACTACCGATCATAAGTCCTGGATTCCTTGTTTGGGAGTGTGAGAGAGCTAGCGTGTGTGTTATGTAACATTACCTTTAAAGATCATGTCATGGAAAAATAAATCGAGTGTGGGGACCCCACCCTGTAGAATTGATCTGGGGACCCTGCTGATGTAAGCTGAACTTAAATTCTTTTGCATCCCTTATATAAAACTTGTAGCCGACCCTGCAACGAACCCTTATCCCTTTTTTCCCTCTCTCTCTCTCTCTTCTCTTCTATTACACAACATGCTCTCTGATATCAACGGTGTTCCTATTGATCAAGCTCTCAAGGAAAATGGCTATGTCATTGTCGATGGTCTCATTCCCTCCGACATGATCGATGATCTTAAGGCCGCTTGTGATCGTGTCGTTGACAAGGCAAGAAAGGGTGAATGGAAGCATCGTCGTCTTGTAGGCACTCAATTCCCACCATGGACCGAGGGCACTGATGTAAGTCAATGATCATTTCTTGTGTACATGAAATAGCTTTTATTCATGCTATGATTTAGGTGTGGGGCGTCCAACACATGATGCATCCCGATTTGAAGGAACCTATCTTTGCAAAGTGGTATGGTTCTCCCAAGCTTCTTGAAGCTGTTTGCCAATTGCTCGGTACCAGCAATGAGAATCTCCAACTCGGTAAATGTTCACTTGTAGTAGTAGTAGTAGTAGTAGCATGTTCTTTATTGACTCTTGGACTCTTTCTCTTTCTAGAATTGTTCAATCTACTTATTAACCCTGAGGAATCCGATTTCGACTTGACATGGCACCGAGATGCTATTCCTGCGGCAACGAGTCCCGAGGAAGAAGAGACCAAGCTGACCATTCCCCATTATGGCACTCAGTGGAACACGTAAGTTGTTGTGTCACATGGTCCGATTTTTCTCTTTTCTAAAGCCAACATGGAAACAAAAAAGGGCCTTGTACGAGGACGAATGTCTTTACGTTGTACCAAAGTCGCACCGACGTGTTCGCACCGCTGAAGAGCGTGATATCACTTTGAATGATCCCAAGAGCCACAACATGCCTGGTCAACTCAAGGTCCAATTGAAGCCCGGTTACACAGTCTTTTATGACAATAACATCTTGCATCGTGCTGCTTACTTTTGCTCAAAGAAACGTGCCACTTTGCATGCTTCCATGGGTACCGTCGAAGGTGGCCATCATCGTGCTGCTACCATTTTCCAACATGGCCTTGACTGGATGGAGACTGATGCCTTCCGTGAACAATTGCCCGAATCGCTCATCAAGCCTTATGCCAATGTCCGTGCCATGGCTGAAAAGGCTACGGCCGGCAAGCTTGAATCTAAGCCTATCCATGAAGGTCTTTAAGTATTTACATAATCGATCCCCCTGTAAATTAAACATAATGTTGTATAATGTATATCATCCTGTGAATGACATGTTGTACCCTATGACGATTAAGGAAAAGTGAGCAGTAGTAGAAAAGAATGAGACAATGTACCCCACATTTTGGCGAGAGCCATGCGACAATGAATGAAGGCTTTCACATGATTTTCAATTCACATAGAAAAATGGAACATAGGGTGAATCATAAAAGAAAAAGTACAAAAGGGAATGCTGTAGTGAATGACTATATATATAGAATGAGAGCAGTAGTAGTAGTGTATAGTTGCTTGCCAATGCCGGTGCATGGATTGCTGCTGGAGTGCCATACATAATAGGGCCGATGAAGGTACTTTGGGTTTATACAGAGATGGGTAAATGGACGACAACGGCTTGCTCTTGTTAAAAGGGATAATCCATCTCTCCTTCTGAACTCTGTAGTAATAAAAGGTTAGTCTCATATGCGTCGATCATCCAACTTTGTTCAACAACAACTTACATCTTCATCCGGGCTGTGATAAGTAATAACGAGAATCAAGCGGAGACAGAGCATGTTGCGGTGAATAAGCATCATTGTCATGCTAAGATCCAATTTCCACACTCCCCTCCCCCCCCCCACACGTCTTATACTCCATACCCACGCATCATCATCATCATCACCACCACCACCGTTTGCCACTTACACATCTCCTAATGCGGTCTGTAATTCTCGTACACGCTCACGTAAGGAATTCTTGTTGCTCACCAGCTGTCGGATGTACTCAGCCGCTATGATGATACAAGAGGAGGTTAATACGTTTATCATCCATCGTCGTGATGGTGATGATGATGCTTACATTTCTGCAAAATGACCGATTCACTACGATGTGAATGACTCAGCGTGGGTACCATATCCACTAATTGATCAAACCCAATACGGATATTGGCTCGTCGTTTTTGCTCGGATGCAATATGGTTTGCCTTTTTCTGGGCTTCACTTAGGAGTTCATGGGGTGGTTTCCTACCACGGCCTGTACGTGTTCCACTTGATTTGCTGGCAGCTGCTGCTGATGATGATGATGATTGTGCATCGTATTTGCGCTTTTCTACCTTGCGTGGATGTTCACGAGCACCCGAGTTGGATGAGGATGAAGAAGGTGAATGTTGTTGATGTGCATATGAGGATGAGGATGATTGTGCATTGTTATGCTGATTGCTGCTGCCTGTCGAAGAGGATGTTTCTGGGAGAGGCAATACATTAATTTGGCCACCAGAAAATTGGGTTGTGTTGTAAGGTGATGAGAGCATAATGGGCATAGGTGAAGTTGCTTGATTTGATAATAATCATGTTAATAGAAGCTTGCATATAGATGACATGTTGATCTGCCCATCAGGCACAGAACACTACTCACGAGGTGGTGACGACGAGGATGATGTAGAGGAAGGTTTATCAAATCCACTAAGGAAGGATTGGAGTTGCTTTTGTTCCAAGTCTGAAAATAGAGTGTCCGTCATAGCCGCGCGATCTATATGGCGATTAACCTTGTCAGTGAATGAGCAAACGTGGCCATGTCGTTTTATGCATACCGGTCGAGTGGTCGTCTGACATAGCTTAGAGTGAACAAAGAAAGATAAAAAAAAGGGAAAGAGAATAGTACAAATATAGACCAAGACACGCAAATACAAAAAGGTCGCTTTGTTCAAGAAGAGGGCGAGTGAGATAGAGGCATGTGAAGATCAAGGCAACGTTACACCAAACGTTGATACATGCTGGTGCACAACCGGTATCATTGTTGCCAGAGAGACGGCCCGCCTGTTCTCCATGGATACCTGTCGAGTTCGCTTGTAGCATGGCATGACGCCGTATAACACGTGGATGCCATGTCTCATGGTAGTATATGAAAGAGAGGCAGCTTCAAACTTGCCGAAAAAAGCAAAAGAATCAAATGTCAACTTTATCAACCGAAAGGGGAAATCACAAGAGCACGTACTGATGATGATGGGGGAAAGGTTGAAAAAGGAGAGCGCTTCTTTTGTGTGAATGGCGGTGGTGGTGGTGGTGCCATGACACATCATCCAACAATGTAGCAACGACTTACATGTGATTCTAGAATTAAAGCATCACCAAGAATTGCTTGGGTGTTTTATTCATCTGCTTGGTTGACTTTTTAGCTACAACGTGGGAAAGCGGGGTTCTCATTCGTCGAAAGAACAGCACAAGAGAAAGCGGGCATTGGTTTTGTCCCTTTTTTATTCGATTCGCATAATGCTCTTCTAGACGGATACAAATAAACGCCATACGCCTTGTGCGTATTGTACAATCTCGGACATGCCCATCTTGCTTTCACCATATACACGATCCACAAATGTAATAGGCACCTCGCCCACCGTATAATTGAATTGTCGTGCTCGCACAATCATTTCCATTTGGAATACGTAGCCCTTCGAAATGGTAGCATTGATCAATTGGTAGAGCACATCCTTCTTGTAAAGGCTATTCCAAAAGTAATCCATGCATTAGTACATGGCCACCGTTTCTTGTATGCCCTATTGTCCTACCGGAAACTGCCTGTCAAATCGGATGACTTCGGTCGCAACATAAGCGTAGCTAGATAATTGGCACCTCGACTATTACAATTGTAAGCTTCCTCTTGCCTTTTTCTCATGTTGCTTTTACAATTCGCTTACCTGACGAGTTTTCGCTTGAGATCCCAGCCATATACGCCACCACCAGGCTTGTATCGGGTGCCACTGACAACATCGTAATTATGCTGTGCCTGTAATCTATCGCCTGATTAAGTATCCTCCAATCATGATTCATTCAATCCAATCTACCTGATCATTTGAGGAATAAACTTGGGCTACACGTATCCAGACACCTCAAGGTCAATATCGGACAACCATCCATGTTGCCAAGCACTTACATGATGTGAAAAGTCCGCATCCATGATGATAATAAAGTCACCTGTAGCAAATTGAAGACCATGCACGTATGCAGTTCCTATAATAGATCCATGGATGTCCCCCCCCCGTCAATATACCCAATTCCATGCGTCCTATCGCGTAATACAAGTACGTTACCTAGACCAAGTTTGCCTGCACGAGGTCTCAATTGCTATGTACAAACAAAACAACGCCACGTTAGTGTATCGTAGTGGGTAGACTAAGCATGAATAAAACATACGATATGGTCTTGTCCATAGACGTTTTGTAATTCACGAGCAACATCTTGAGTGCCATCGGGGCTGCCATCATCTACAATGACGATCTCCCAGTCGACGTTTTCTTGAGTGAAGGTTCTTGCGAGTAGCCAGGTAATGATGGGTAGGTTTTCTCGTTCATTGTAGGTTGGGAGTAAAACAGAATACTTGTGAGCGGTCATGGTACGATGAGACGACGCGTCTTCAACTTCAAGCACGGCGTGGCCGTTCTCTGACATAAAATAAGGAAGGACAAAAGGGTGAACATTTATCTGGACTTGAATCATTGGTTGAAATGCAAATGGTCGCCCACCCAAAGAATTTGGGGGACCTGCCCTCTACGAGTGAGCGAGCACTCTATCGAACGACATCCTCTTGCATAACACTCTCCTCGTCTTTTTACCACTTACAGACACAATCATAATAAACATCATACTTTGTTTACATCTTGGTTCATGCAGACCCCGGTGGTGCATCACATACCAGGTACATAGTAGGTTGCTATGATCAATATCATCATTCAATCACCCGGATACGCATACCGCTCTAAAGGGTAAATAATAGTTGCCTGGCAACGGTAACAATCTACATGTGGATATGAGCATAGCAACCGATTTGTGATAGCTGTTTGGTGTTGTCATTGTTTGATAATGATGATGATGTATAAAGTATTGTCACGTCACTGGACAATGAACCATGACAAAGTTCTTTCTTAGAGATCCAGGAAGACGCCTCATCAATCGATTTACCAGCCTTCCCTCCTTTTTATGAGTACCATCTACATGTAACAAAGATGTTGCCACCCATCATATCACTCTTTGATCACTAGCATCTTCAAAGCCCCTGGTAGGTATTATGGTGAGTAGTCCTCTTTGTGATCCACGTACTCAATAATAAACATTTCATTGTCATTGTTGTACAAATTCATCCTCTTTAGGCGTAAAGAACCAAAAGCCATCATAGCTCATTGTAACCAACCCACTCATCACTCATTCATCATGTAGTATTTTCTTTAGAGTGCACTGCTGCATATTCTGATTTGAAAGATTATATGTCAAATGGGGGAGAAGAGAAGGTAGGAAAGGGGGGGAAGAATGAAATGGTATATACGCAAAGCACTTGGATGACCATGTGCAATAAAGGAGAGAAAAAACAAATCAAATCTCAATCAGTACTATGGTACAATCGTCATAATCTTGAAGGGTGGATGCGAAAAAGCCGTGTACACTTTCGCGGTTGGCGAAATAGCGTGCTGCCATCACCAAGGTACGTTCCCGGATCTTGCGTGTCTTGGCTTCATCCTCGTTTAGTTCTCGGAAAAGACGTGGCAAAGGTGGTGCTGGTTCTTTCTCTTGTTCTTCAGATGACTGTTGTTGTTCATTTTCCTTGGAGGAGGAGGGGGAGGAGGATGGTGGTGGTGAAGAAGATGACTCAGGCTTTGTTTCGGATTGCTGTTGTTCTCCTTCTTTCTTGACAACCGGATCCACTGCCATCGGTTCAACATTGGGTGTATTTGGATTGCTGCTGTTGTTGTTGTTTTGTGCATCATTCTTATCCTCAGCCATTTTTTCTTCATTCGTTGTCGTCGTCGTTGTCGTCTCTGATTCATTTTTTGGTGATGGGTTGTGTTCAATCGTCTCGCCGCCGACACGTTCTTCCTCTTCCAATAGTAAATGTCCAACCTTTTCACCATCTTCAATCATGGGTCCTAACACCTTGGCCACAGCTCTGTTTTGTCGTTCAGGTGTTTCCTCATACATGTAATCAAATAAGCCGTCCGTGCTCATCAATAAAAAGTGTCGTCGTTTTTCCTTATTCGTGCCGGATGTGAGTAATGTCTTTGAGTTGGGATCGGTATTGATAGAATCAGATATCCGGAAAAAGGACACATCCGGTTCACAAGAAATGATCTTCCTTTTAGGGTCCATCTTAAAGTCGAGATCACCACAAGAGCGGGCCACATTCAATGATGGTATACGTTCGTCTCGCGATCGCACCTTGAAGAATCCACCATTGTTGTTATTGGGGGTGGTGGTCGTACTATTGTTGGATGCGTTGGTAGTATTGGAAACAGGTGAATGGTTGGCAGTAGTGCGCACAGCGCTTTGAGCAGCGTAACCTGGTGTGGATGTGTTGCTATCGCTCGACAATAAGGGAGATTGTTGCTGTTGTTGTTGTTGTTGCTGTTGCTGTTGTTGCTGTTCATGACTCGAGTAACATTTGGGGCGAATACGTGCATTTTTCAATGCTACACGCTTTGTCTGTCGATTGCCATCTTCACGTAATTTGTCTAAATCCACTCGAATCACTCGATCTTGTACTGAATCAATGAATTCGCCACCGTTTTCAAGAATCTCACGTGCTAAATGCTCGAGGTAGGGCTTGTGATCCTGAGATGCAAACACAACGTCCATTTTGTAATCATTGTCAAGACCGCAAATGAGAGGATGCATGTTGAGTTCTTCGGCTGTTTTTTGTACTGTATCAGCAGGCTTAGGTGCGGATATTAATACTGAACGTGAATCGCCAACATTGATATTGATAAGCCATTTGCCGAAAAATAGGTTGAGAATCAAAGTACATCCATCATTGTCCAACTCCTCATTCGGTGCTGTTGGTTCATTTTGTTGATCCGAGTTGGTGTTGTTATCATTGTGATTATTGTTGTTTGCTGCCTGATGTCGTCCAAGCTGTATCCTTTTCAATGCTAGATATTCTGTGTCGATTTCCTCCACCATCCTCTTGATATCCTTTTCAAATTGCTTCTGTACATCCTTATCGTCGAATTTCTCAGGGTCGTAGTTGTTGCATAACTTTTGGACGGCAGCGGGTGTGTTGCGAACAAAGTACTCTGAACATCCACGACCACCATGGCCATCAGCAAGAATGAAAAGGCGCCCAATAGCACGTTGAGTAGCATTGGAGATGACATCAGTGACACGGAACTTGTCTTCGCAATGAACTTTGGGGATCTTGATCTTGTCATGTGACCGAAAACGTGGATACGAATAGCCTTTTTGTTGTGCAATGGCAAAGTACGATGCGACACCATAGTCTTCAAAATTGATAGGGTCGATGTAATCTTGATCAGCCGGGGGTGCAGAATAAAGAAGAGAATAGCCGCTGATAGTGTCTTCTTCTGGTTGTGTGTTGACTTGAGAATCCTCTTCATCCGATGATGCCATTGACATGAAACTAGGTTGCACCAAATCAGTATTTCCCTTCTTCCTTTTGCTTCATAATCATCATCACTCTCTACTTACTCAAGGTCTTCATCCATATCCACATCCACATCCGAGTTGCTGTCAGATTCGGCACCACTGAATCCTTCCTTGTTCTTCCGACGCAGCTTGGCGGCTCTAGCACGACGATTCTTGGCTTTGCGGAGAGCTTCAGGTGTGTAATACTTTGGTGATTTCCTTTGACGCTTGCCCAGTGAATACGAGGAGGCAAAACTACCACTTGAACTCTCCACAGGCTTGAGAATGATAGGCTCATCCGGTATCTCCAAGGGCTCTGGTACTTTGACGCCATTCAACACCGTATCGGAAATCGAGTACTTGGCCTGTCGTCCCGAATTCTCCTTGTGGATAGTAAACGGATCAGGTTGCTTCAAATCCCTGGCTTGCTTGCGAGACGTCGAAATGATACCTTGAATGGTACTCTTGGGGGTTTCTCCTCTACAGACCATGGCACAATGAGTGTCATCCACGCATGCGATGGATCGGATGGGGTTCATTCTTACCTAAGCGGAAGCAGATTGAGTGCCCTGACGGCAGTGACCAATTGGGCAGCATTCATCGACTGGTTTCCATAATGAAAGAGAGTCGCAGCAATCTTCATGAAAGAGGAATTGGACCGCAATTGATCGGATAGGTTGAGATCCTTGAGTTCTGTGTCAACGCCTTCCATGATGTATACGATCTCACCAAGTTCAAGCAAGAGGCAAAGTGTTTTCGCGTGACTTTAGATTTTAAGCGGGCGATTCAAGCCGACACCACATCACATTCATCTCCAAATGAGCTTCATTTAGCATATACAATGACCAATAAAAGCAATATCATTATGTTGATGCTACGGGTACATTACGCCTTCAAACCATCGATTTACATGTTATCATCTTCTTTATTGGCTCCAAAAGACATCGAGTGGGATGCATCGAGATCCATGATCCGGTCGTTTATTCATGTACTTTTATCATCAGGAGAGAACGATAGGGCTATGAATATAAAGCGTATAGAGTGAACATGATGATAGACGAATTACTGCTACGAGGGTGATTGAACATTCTCTATTAGGAGATAGGTATACAGATTCGGCATTGGCTTTTCTCAGCTTGCTGGTCTGGTTGGTCGGGCTTTGCTGTTGTTGTTCCTGTAGGAGTTTTTGCCTTATCATCTATTGAAGCAAAACACTGGTTCTTGATCCTATAGCTTGGATTGGAAGAAATGGGAAGCGTCATTTGTACCGTAACTTTATGAGAGTTTATATGGATTTGCTATGAAGTTGTGGATCGTTTACCTCAAAGTGTCTTCCAGAGTAGCATATAATAGCCGAATCTATAAGACACAAGGTGTCAATTCTTTCAAAGGATAAAGCTGTCATCGATTGGAGCTTGATGTTTTATTAATCAATCTACATCCAATGCGTGAAATGGTCATCTTTTTCTTAGGTATGTACATTGTAGATGATGCACGTGATAAGTAGCTACTATCACTACTTCTACCCAGCCAATGGAATGGTTGCATTGATTTGTGAGACCTGAGACCTGAGTGCCAACCAGTTCCAACCACGTTGGCAAAGTGTCAAATACCATCTCTCTCCATCCCTTTCATCCCTTCCTTTACATTTTCATCCTTCCCCCCCCCCACCTCCCTACTTGTCCTTTTTATCATATACCACAGTTCGCTATGCTACGCTTCACCTTTTGCGTTGCTGGCATCTATTTGTGCTTTCTAACATGGGGCGTTGTGCAGGAACGTGTGAGCACCACACCTTACGGCGATGGCGACAAACCAGAAAAGTTTCGATTCTTCATATTCCTCAATCTCATCCAGTCGTTGATCGCAGCCATCGTGTCCTTTATATACCTAAAGTTCAGTCGACGATCCCTGAACATAGCCAACATGCCGCGATCGCTTCTCACAAAGTATGGCCAAGTGGCCTTTCTCAACTGTATTGGATCACCGTTTGGCTATGCAGCACTCAAGCACATTGACTATCCCACCATGATCCTCGGCAAATCCTGCAAGCTCATTCCAGTCATGCTCATGAACTTTGTGTTTTATCGTCGCAAGTTCCCACTCTACAAGAATCTCTGCGTCTTGCTCATCACTGCCGGCGTATCCATGTTCATGCTCTATCATCCCGTCGATGGCAACAAAAAGGCAGCCGCCGCTAATTCGTTATGGGGATTGTTCCTATTGACCATGAACTTGGCAATTGATGGATTGACCAACGCTACCCAAGACGAGATCTTCCACAAGTATTCACAAAAGGTCACCGGTCAGCACATGATGTTCTTTATGAATGCGATCGGCTCGATCTTCATGGCATCCTTCTTGGTATTGAATCCTTACAATGACGAATTATGGCGTGCCATCCAATTTTGTCAAACACATCCAGCAGTGGTTGGCGACGTATTGCTCTTTGGTCTCTGTGGTGCCATTGGCCAACTCTTTATCTTTTACACATTACAAGAATATGGCAGTCTACGATTGGTTACAGTGACAGTAACTCGAAAGCTGTTTACTATGCTCCTCAGCATCTTTTGGTTCAATCATCGGCTGACATTCGGTCAATGGACTGGTGTTGTCATGGTCTTTTTGGGTAAGTGGATGGGGATGTAGATGAGTAAGACAAGGTCTAACTTTATTTCCTTTTAGCTATTGGTATCGAAGCGTACATCAAGAAGCAAGAATCCATGCGATTAAAAAAGGCATTTCAGCCCACGATGGATGAGAAGCAAGGATTAGCAGCTGTTGGGAAGATCGCTAAAGCAGAGTAGAATGTCATATGTATAGAGATTACAACATACAAATATAAGTAAAGGGGTGAATTAAGACACTCCGTGAATCTGTTCCATGTCTCTTCCTCCCATATCCATTGTGTATTGGACACCTTTCTTCACTCAACCTTACAATGATGGTATCTATTACATCCATTCTTTTATTATCATCATCATCACTTGTATTGTAACATTGCATTGACTATCAAGGTACAAACTTGGATGTGTCTTGCTCAAAACCTCCTGATCTCGACATTGAAGGAGACTCTTGGTGCACAGTAACCAGCAATCGGTCCCTTGTCAACGATGCAGCAGCCATTGTCTTTCACGCCTTTGACTACAACGACAACGATGTACCAGACCATGCAGTGGGACAGCCGTGGATTCTAATGACCATGGAGTCGCCCATCAATCCACCCTTCCGACGCGATGAAGCCAAGATGCATACCTTTGAGTACCTTGCGTCATACAACTTGCAGAGTCGATTCTTTATGGGATACTATTCACCGAATATCCTCAATGCAGTGAACCAGCCTCCACCTGAAATGAGCAGCAAAACAGGAGATAGTCCAGTGCTATGGATCGCTTCCAATTGTGATGCATGGAGTGGAAGACATCATTACGTCCGAGAATTGATGAAGTACATCAACATTGACAGCTATGGCACATGCCTCAACAACAAAGCATTCCCTGATAATGTATCCCGCGACGAATTAATGGGTCAATACAAGTTCTATCTTGCTATCGAGAACTCCAATTGCGACGATTACGTTACTGAAAAGCTGTTTGATACATTTCAATCATCCACTGTACCCATTGTCGATGGTCCACCCTTGTACGATTCTTTTTTACCCAATGCACGTTCAGCCATTCGAATGGATGCTTATCCGGATCCACGTGAACTTGCCGACTATTTGCATTATCTCGATCAAAATGACACTGCCTATCTTGAATACTTCAATTATCGCAACCAGGACATGGAGCTACAACAACGTGTCAGTGAGCCCTTCTTGAGCCAATGGGGTGATTGGGAACGTTTCAACAACAAGAGTGGTTGGTGTGGTATATGCCGAGGGGTTGCGTCATGGTGGCAAGCAAGGCATAACACAACAATGATGGATTATCCTCGTGATATGGGACAATACCTGCGAACGGATCGCTCTTGCATACCAGAAGGCAAATGGGATTATGTACGGCAAGGCCCACCCTACATTCCTCATTGGAAACCTACCTTACCTGATGAGTTTACTCGCCCATGGATCAAAAAACGGCTTCCTATCTATCAACAACCGGGCGGCCTCGGTGAAAACTCTGGCATGTCAATTCGTACCATGTGGGGTGTCTATACATTACTTTACATTCTATTCTTTGTCTTTGTTGCTATGTTACTCTATACCAAACGCAGGCGTGGTCATCAATAAGCAGCTCATTGTTGGTTTGATTTATTGTTAAGAAAGCAGCGGGTATGGGAACGCCCTTGTTGTATACATCGCAATCTTTATTTTCTCTTTCCCTCCCTTATCCTTTCCTTTTTCATGCGTTATTATTCCCTGTTTCTTTAGTGACAATCCTCCACCCCCCCCTTAGATGATTCTCATTGTTTTAATAATATCTTGTGGCGCGTGCGCTTCCTTCCTCCTCTCTCTTTGTCTGTGTATATTATACGAATATTTGGTCTTGGTTGGCTCTTTGTCTTTCTTTCTTTCTTTCTTTTTCTTTTCCTTATACCATCATGAGTACACTTGCTGGGAATGGATATGAGATGCTCAAGTTTTGGAAAATGTTTGACACTGGTCCTTCATCATCTTCTCAACAAGACATGTCAAAGAAATCTTCTTCATCTTTGCAAGGTACATACATGCTTGTATGAGTAGGTACAAAACCTTCTCGTCTTAACTTTTGTTCTTCTTTCAGCCAGACAACGAAATGATTCTGTAGCATCTTTGAAAGCACAACATAGAGCAAGGTAAATGAATGTACATTTGTGAAAGGGAAAAAAGGGCTCATTCATGTTGATGAAGCGCTTATTTTGCCATGCCAACCACCACAACTTCCAACGATTCAATCACACAGCAACGGCACCAAAGCTGCATCTTTTCATCATCATCCATTCAACTCCTTAACAACGAGTCATCCATGCAACAACAACGCTCATCACCTTCTTGCTCGAAACCTACACAAGAAGGCAGCAACACTAGCCGTGAATGGCAAGTGATTGAAGCCGCTACAGCTGCTGCTGCTGTTGGCAATGTTCATTGCTCGTCATCTTCCACAGCATCTACCGATACCACCAACACCACCGCAACAGCCACTGTGCTTTACAAGAATACGGATGAGGAGATTATATCGCTTCGTGCCGAACTTGAAAAGGAAAAAAGTACGGTTGTGGCGTTGAGAAAACAGAATCAAGGTGGGTCATCTAGGCTTTGCATGAAAGTTCCATGTGCACCCACTTAATAATGATTGTTTATATCAGCCATGACTCAAAACATGACCCAGTTGGAAATAACAAACAAGGAAAATGCAGCCAAGCTGGAAGAAATGGAACGTGAAAAGGTGAGAAGAAGGGGGTTTTACAAGATATGGCGCATGATTATTGTGTGTGTATGTGAAACTGAAACGCAGAGGATGATCGGCAACAACAGGACAATCAGGTGCAAGATATGGATCTTCTCTTGCGAAAAATGAAGACGACAGCTGAAGATGCAAGAAAGTGGTCATTTGAAGCGAGCCGTTACAAAGAAGAAATGGAGGTATTGTATGAAGCAAGTTGGCTTTTCACGCATACACAATGCTCACCACATACGTTTCTTTTGTAGGCATTGCGTGTCAGTGCACAACGTGAAAAGGCGGGATGGATAACGCGGATGAGAGAAAAGGATCGCATTATCGGCACATTGAATGTAAAGTACAGTTGTTGTCGTGGGTTTAGCGATAATTTCCCAAATTGACCCATGTGTTGATTTGCTAGTCGCGTTTGGCGCAATTGGAACAGGAGGTCATGGTATTACGACAAGATCCACACCCCACAGCTTTATATTCTCATGTCGAGCCCGAAGAGTAGGTTCATCCCATTTTAGTGTCCATGTATATACATATTGATCGACATTGTAGAATGATGCATCCCCCAACACCCTTGCCTGGCGGGCTGCTTCTTGATCATGAGCTACGAGAATTGACACATGAAAAAGAGAGAGTAAGCGCGTATCTTGTAATGTGAGAAAATTTCACTAACCTTTATTGTAGCTACAATCGGTGTATGGCAAAATTCCAATCCAAGTGGTGAATAGGCATCAAAGGCACCAAAAGGAAGAGCTGGAAGAACAAATGCACAAGATTGATGGCCAATTGAGCCGTATTCGGCAAAAGATCAAACGCACGGTGCTGTAAAATGCCATCATCACCATCATGTACATATAACAAATGTTGTTGTATACTCAAAACAAAGCAAGCAGTATTCTTATTGTGGATTTGAATGAGCTGTGAGAATTTGTAGCATGGCAATCCAAACACAGGATAGATAGATAATACTTCGCTAAGCGACCTTTAGTCATCATCATGGCTTGTACAAATCTGTTCATGGTCATTAAAAGTATAGATTTGGGCAACTTGGGGGAAGAATAGTATACATGTCAACACGTCATCTCAATTTTGGGCATGCCTTATCACTAGAATGCTTTTCTTTGTGTGGTTCAAGAGAGCGGTAACATAGCAACCGTATTCAAGCAACGCATCCTTGTTTTAGAACAATCGCCCCAGGAGATCCTTCAAGCACTTTAAAAACCCAACATGCAACCATGAATAAAAGAAATTGGGATAAGGGAAATTCTATTCACAAGCGTTTTTTCTATTGCAAGAAAGTTTTGTACACAACATTGTCTGTTTCTTCGACGTAGTAATAATTCAGCTTTTCCAAGAAAGAAGCGAATGCATCGTTGTCTTCAGGTGGTACTTGGATTCCGACAAGCACCTTACCCATATCTACATTGACAAGCAAAAACGTGAGTAAATCAAACACCTTAAAGGCCATTTCCCAGAAGAGTGTACTTACCATCGCCATGGTTACGGTAGTTGAAGAGTGAGACGTTCCATGTTGAATCCAATCCTTCCAAGAATCGCATCAATGCACCAGGTCGTTCAGGGAATACTATCATACGCTATGAGTAAATCCCATTCCATACAACACAATGTAAATAATACATTACCAAATCTAAATACACGTTCATGTTCAGGGCGACCACGACCTCCCATCATGTAACGAGCGTGTGTCTTGGCCAATTCATTGTGACTCACATCCCATCCTTCCATACCCTTGGTACGCCACTTTTCCAGCACGTCGGCCACTTCTGTTGCCAGGTTTTGTACTTTGAAACTGATATAGATGTGTGCCTTTTCGGGATCAGAATAACGATAGGAAAATTCGGTGACAGCACGAGGAAGCACTTGCTCAATCATGGACATGAAGCTGCCTTTTCGTTCGGGGATAATGACATTGCAAAAGGCTTCGGTTTGCTCACCAAGCTCAGCACGCTCACTGATAAAACGCAAACGATCAAAGTTGACATTGGCACCTGAAATGATAGCGACGTGTGCACCCTTGGCATTTGGATGTGATGCAAGATACTTTTTGGCACCAGCGAGTGATAAAGCACCTGTGGGTTCACAAATCGATCGGGTATCTTTGTAGGAACATAGGTCACAGCACCGTCAGTACATGATGTTCTTATCCAACCCATCCAATAGAGCTTACCTTCAAAGAGATCCTTGATAGCTGCACAAATTTCATCGTTTGATACATTGATGACCTCATCAATGAGTTGACTTGCCACCCTAAAGTTCTCCTCGCCTACAATGCGTACTGCAGCACCATCGGCAAACAATCCAACCTCCTTGAGCTCAACACGCTCTTTGCTTGCAAGACTCCGGGTCATAGCATCGGCATCATTGGCTTCCACACCAATGATCTTGATATGGGGTGCAATGCGCTTGACATAGCTGCCAACACCAGCAATAAGACCACCACCACCCACGGCGATAAAAATGGCTGAAATGTCATTGACATCGTGCTGGCGTAACACTTCCATACCAATCGTTCCTTGTCCTGCAATCACATAGGGATCATCGTAAGGTGGGATATTGGTCAAGCCTTCTTCCTTGATCAAACGCACACATTCTCGCTTCGCCTCATCGAAATCATTGCCAATCAAGACCACTTCGGCACCAAGTCGTTTGACATTTCGCCACTATACAATGATAGATGATATGAGTATATAGGCCGGCGGAGGATATTTGTATACCTCTACATACCTTGATAGCAGGACATGCTGCTGGCATGACAATCTTGGCCTTGATACCCAACTTTTGCGCTGCCATAGCCACACCTTGAGCATGATTACCTAAATCCTCCTTTTGTCAGTGACCTTTCGTTTCCTATCCACATGGATGGTCTTTACCAGCAGAGCATGCAATCACACCGGCTGCTTTTTCTTGGGGTGTCAAATGAGCCATTTTGTTGTATGCACCACGGATTTTGAAGCTAAAGACAGGCTGCAAGTCTTCACGCTTGATATAAATCTTGGCGTCATTCTCGTGGTTGATCTTGCCGTTGAGATTGACGGTCTCTTGGAGTGGGGTCTCTTGGACAATGTCGTAGACTCGCGATGTCAAGATCATGCGGAGGTAATCGGGCTCATTGCCTTCTGTGTAGGGAACATGGCCGTTTTGAATGTTGCTCTTGAGATGAGGTGCGGGTTGGTGAGTGTCTGTTTCAACAATAGCACGTGGTTCACTTGGCATGGTGGAGGAGTGGGTAATAGTGGTAGAGTCTATGCACAAGTGAGAGTGAAAAAGGAAGGAAGGAAAAAGATATAGATGACAGCTGTGTGTGGTACAAAAGAAAGATCGTCTAGCTCGGATTGGTTGTCATCGTGAATCATCCAAGGCAGTGTGACCATGCTGGATTCTTTTCGTGTAACATTGTACCTTTGCCACCACCACCACCCATCCATCACCCACTCATCATCCCCCCCATCAATGACTTCATGTGAAATTGCTTGATACGATTACAAGTGTAGAATGTAGGAGGAGGTTTAAAATAGCCTACATTCGGATCTGCCTCTGTTACAGGATCTACAAAAGATGGTTGCTTTGACATGCATATAGTAGATCACATGCGCTAATGTATGAGGCATACTTAAATGACAAACATAATACATACACAATCATGCAATCTCATTTTAGGAGTTGTTCTTCCTTAAGAAAAGAGGAATCAAATGGTATTTTGTTTTTTACTTTGCTCTGGTTGTCTTTGTGGAGGCGAAATAAAAACTTACAACTAGGGTTGGAATGATGATGTTGTGTGTTTTTGCAGAATGATGATGAACATAGAAATGTAAAAGAAAAAGATTGAAAAAACAAGGGGGGGGCATAAACACAAAGAAAGCATGAAAGTGTGAGAAGGGCGTGAATGTTGTGTGTATGTAATGTATGATGGGAGATTGAAAATGGGGGCATGATGACAAGAAAATAGGGGTTGGGGGAGGAAAATGATGCTTGTTGTTGTTGGAGTAATAGTATCATGATGATGCAGAAACAGCAATCGAGGATGCCTGATTGAGAAGTGGGTACCAGGATGGGTCTGGCAACAAGTCTTGAGCTTGTGATGCTGACATTTGGCCGTAACCCAGCGACCTTAAAACATCAGCATGCGTATCAATAACAAGATGATCAATCGTTGATTCAATGATAGCTTGACGTCCATCATGGGCCACATCGACGTTGTAATCCTGATTACATCGCACGACATGAAATGGAAACTCGACGATTGATTGTGTTGCTGGTAATGCATCTTGTTGTTGTTGGTTGCGATATACGAGGGATTGAGTCTGAAGAAAAGTGTCTAGACTATCTTTGACTGCACGTTGCATTTGCTGCATAGACTCAAAGAGCTGAGCTTGTCGCTGTTCCTCGTGCTTGATTTGTTGCTCCAAGAGTTGTTGTTGCTGTTGTCTGCTACTATCATCGTTACTATTTTCATCGTCCTCATTGCTGCTGCTAGTGCTGCTTGCAGAAGAATGAAAACAAGCCGGAATGCCGAGCCATCGAATCTCTTTTTTATCCTTGGCAATAATATCCATAGCCATAAGGACATTCAATGCATCATACACACGTCGACGAATATTCTTTTGATCATAACCATGACGCTGTTTCTTGCTGGCACGAATGTCGGCTGCAAGCTCATCAGCTACTTCGTTATAAGTCGTCACACCACGCTCAGCAACCTTGTCAGAAACAAGCTTGCTGAAATGACGGAGGCCTTTGGTCACTGATCCTCCTGCACAATTTGGCTTTTGTGTGTTGAGCGATTTTGGTGTTGATGTTGTTTCCTCATCATCGTCATCCACAGCTGCTGAAGATGCTGCTCTTTTACGCTTTGTGCTTGTAGCAATAGGTCTACCACGTTTGCTGCTGCTGCTGCTGCTACCAGAGATCGGAAGCTCGTCCCGTGTAGGTGTATCCATGCGGAGTTCCGAATCAGATGCATTGAGCAAAGATGCAATAGAGCCTTTTCGACTCGAAGGACTACTGCTATCAAAAGATCGAGGTGACCATGAACTAAGACTATTGGATCGACTTGATGAGGATGCACATGAAAGTGGTGGAGAGGATGTGGTAATGGTGTTGGCGTCATCAATGATGTTTAAATCCTGGATAGATGGAAGGGATTGGGATTCGGGAGAAGATGATGATGCATGTTGAATGATGGGTCTTAACGCGGTGATCGACGACGCGTCTTCATCCACATACAAATGCACGTCCTCATTACGATAGTTTGTGGAACCAACAGCAGCTTCATCTGGTGCTGAATCATGACCATGAGGGGGTATCGTGGCGTAACAACACGATGTTGATGATGGCGTATCCACTTTAAACAACGCAGGAAGCTTGACTGGTAATGGCACAGTAGCTGTTGGTTTGACCACTGTAGGAAAAGGACGTGTGGCTTGTGGTTGGATTATCCATGGAAGAAAGGCTGATGATGTTGATGATGTTGGTGACGCCATTTGAAAAAGGTGAGTCGAATGTTGTATGTTGATGATGAGGGGAGGTGATGCGTGTGTTGTGTATTGAGAGAGATGAAAAGAATAAGGAACGCTGAAAGGAAGGGAAGTTGATTGTAGAGGAAAACGTGTGCTCTGTTTGTGAGTGATGAAGAGGAAATGGAAAAGAGAGGAAAGAGGAACAAAGAGAGAACGAGGTTGACCTGCAGCTATTGAATAAATCCAACTTTACCCATTTCGATTTGCTTTGCCGGATCCCGTTGTCTCGACCCCGGAGGCACATCCGAGCCAACATATGGACATCGCGGATGTCAAAATGACAAAAACAGCTATCAAAAAAAGCTTCCCGAGAAAACGCACACATGCACTCTTCTTGTCAAAACAGAATCATGTGGCAGAAACACGTCCCTCCCCATGCTACTTTCTCTTTTCCTTCTTTTATCTTCTATTCTTTGCTTGACATCATTGATTCATCTTTTAGCTTATCATCCTTGCACTAGCTTTATACTTAAAAGAAGAATTGGTGCTAAAGATGTCTGTGATGATAAACATGCCAATTCCCCATGATTGGCGCAACCCCATTTCTAAAATGACCACGGGGGTTAGGTGGTGGTTCCACCACGATCACCCCGCTCAAATCTCGCGGCACACAAATAAAGGAAACGAGTAAAAGAGCATTGACCATCCCCTTGAACTGTATGCAATTATCGCATGAGATAGCGAAAAAAAGGAAATGATCAACAAACGCTTTCTTTCAATCCCCCATCTTATCCTCTCTCTCCTTCTCCAAACATGTAACCTGTGGTAGATTGGGGGGTGGGTATAAAAAGTCATTTTACATTCATCATTCATCAATGGAAATGCCCCTTGGGTCAGTGCACGGGATCGTGTTTTGTTAGTCTTGTCGGCTCATGTGTGCATACACAAAGCGTATATGCATCGTTCGTTTTGAAAGATATGAATGCTCTGTTCTCACCTTGACCTGCAGTCTTTGATTCGAAAAGCGTAAATACGCTGGTCCATGTGCATGTATACTGCAGCATTCAGGAGGGAGTGATCGTAAGATAGAGAGGGGTGTGCAACTGTACGTGGCATAGTAGCTGCCAAAGACTGCATGCATGTTGTCGTTACCTTATTCCATTGCAAGATCGAGCACCCGCATATATATATACGCCAAGTTTCGCAGGGGATGATGAGCATGCGAATAACAAAAGACTCTCAATACGTTACATAGACATCCCCCTTTACACGCAGATGTATATAAATATGCATTATTTTTCACCCCCACCTCTTTCTTTATCATCATCCCATATACGATAGGGTGGCGCTCACTTTCATCGATGAAGATCACTTGCATTGGTGGTGGTGTGAATTGTTTCTTCCTTGGAATTATTCAAGTCACGGGGACAGCAGCAGCAGCAGCTGTATAATGACACTCGCCACAACTCAAGAAGTAGGCTATTGCACATACGATACTATAGCAAATGATAAGGGCTGGTCAAACAATCATGTGCTTATGACACTAACTCTGAAAACCATAAGCAACCTGTCATCAGTTATCATAGTCAATAAGCTAGCTCAAACCTTGAATGGCACAAGGCCGGCGTGTGTGTTGTTTGCTAGCCTCAGAAAACCTAAAATGAGAAAAGCATACACACGTGTGCAGACTCTAGTGCTGTAGCTATTAGCAGCAGCACACAACAAGCAGGCCCATTCATCTATACAATGACTCAGCCTATCGCTGGAATGTAAACATGGTATGGCATTCACTGGAAAGAGCAAATGTCCAGCTCATTGTATATGTGAGCAGCGCGTTGAATACAAAAGGCGTAGTATCTTGGATCGTTGCCGAGCCCCAATGTTCTCACAATGGCTGTTTGGTGGTGCGTGTGTGTTGTTGTATGTTTTTCTTCACCTAATCATTCAGCTTTTTTCGGTATAGTGTCAAGCATCTTGCGCATGTGCAGTGCAAATATGAAGGGTGTATGCGTTAAAAGCCGATGCATCTCCTACTTGCTTGGCCCGCTCGTTTCTCAATACCTAATGCAATAAAAGCAAATAAACCATGGTTACTTGTACATAAAAGCTTGTCCACACGAGTTACCATAAGCATCATCCCATGGTATCCTAACACAGATTGCAAGAGTAAAGCACAAAGTTATCTTAATATCAAAAACGCCATAGTCAAGCTTGACTTTTCTACGCACAAGAATGGCCGCCATATGTGGAAGTACCTACTACTGCCATCTAAGTATGAACCTTGAAATCTTTGCGACAACAAAATCATTAACATCATGCTTCCACCAAAAATCGGTGATAAGCTATCTAATGGGTTTAAAAAGGTTGCAGGTGGTCATAAGAAGGATGGTACCCAATCTTTTCTTTTTTTTTTAAAGCAATACACTTGGGTCTTTATGTAGGATACAATATGAACAATCTTGTTGCCGTGACAACGGGGCTGAACATGTAACCGCTGGATACCGTTGTCATGGTACGAGAATCAGATTACGGCTCTATGAGTTGTCAAGGAGCGACTATTGAGATTCTCAAACCTTGGGCAAGACATAGATTTATGGATTAGCGATAGGCTAACATGCTATGTAAGCTCTTTTTGGACTCCCCTTGGCAGCATGCAATATGTACAATTGGGATAGGTGTAGACAATGATATCATATAGTTAGGCTTTTATTGCCCTCAAGGGTAAGATACAAATGGATCTGGAAGAGAAATATCGTGGGTATGCGAGAAATGGGTTATCATGAATGTAGAGAGATGAGTGACCCTTTTGTGCTCCAATGATAGGGAAATGGCGGATGAGGATTCATCCGATCGGATAGTGTGCATCATGTCACGGGTTGTGTTGGATAATGGGAGCTGTTTGCCAGCAAGCAGGATTTCCAAATAGGTCACAGGCTGAGTGGAAAAGGAAAGAACAGCAAAGAATCCCTTATTCAGGACAAAGAATGTTGCTGTTGTTGCCATGGCAATTCAATCAATAAGGTCATTCTATTATCATACACAAACAATGAGTACTACAATCAACCCCATTTTATATTGAGAATGGACCCTCTCGCTTTTATCATCTCATCCATACAAAGCAATGTGCGCACGTTCGGGCGAAGAAGGAGGTGGCAAGATGTTTTACTTTCGATTCTCCGCAACTCGGGTTGGGGCCGGGCACAAACAGCTTTTTGACTAACAGCTTTTTGACTCATACACATCAACTGGTTTTCCGACTCTACTAAAAGCTTTTGCTTTGTGAAAAAAAAACCCACATTCTCTCTCTATCTCTCTCTCTTTATCGTTATTCAACATGTACGGTGCAAAGGGAGCGTCACTGATCAACACCGTTGCCAGGCAAAGTGCTCTCTCCAAGCAATTGGCAGCTGGCCACAGCTCAAAATCAACAGCGTTCCTTACCAATCTATCGACCCGCAATGTTTCTGCTGGCAAATTGTCTTATACGACGAGTCGAGCTTCACAGCATCTCAACAAATCGTCTCAGCAGGACGACAATCAGCAGCAGGAGCATCGACGTATGCATCGTAGCAACAGCGGTTGGCACCAGCTTGCAAAGATATCACAACTTCCAACAGCGAGTCGACATCAACAGGCACGATTCAATCATCAAATGGCAGCAGCCAACGGCAAAGACGAGTCCATTGTTCCTACCGAGGTGAACAATCGCATCATGCAAGCCCATAAGGCACATGACCCTGAGCGTGTGGTGGCCGAGTTTGTGGCGGGTCGTACAGCAGGTGCACCATTGTCTACGCAAACTTATGATGCCGTATTGGATGCCTATGGTACTTTGCGCAAGCACAATCAAAGCGTCAAGGCAATGTGCGAAGTATACGACGATATGGTTGCCAATGGTGTTCATCCTACATCGCACGCTTATGCAACTTTGTTAAAGTCTCTTTGCAACCGCGACAATGAAGTCAATCGCCTCGTGAGTTCGCTTCGTCACAAAAAGGCCCGTTATGGATTGGCAATTGACAACCTTGGTGCCTTGGAGAATGAGAGCAATGCCAATGTCGAACGAGCCGTTGCACTCTTTCAGCGAGCTGTGCAAGAACAACAAACCGAGGATTTCGATGTGGATCTATACAATCGCATGCTCAACATGTTATCTGTCAGCGGCAACACCAAGGATGCTTTGTATATCTATGAGACGCTTGAAGGAAGTGCTACAGCTAAACCGGATAGTCAGACCTTTTCAATGCTTATTAGCATGTATGGCTACGCTGGTGACATGTCCAAGGCTCATGAATGCTTCTCAGAGTATCTTGCTTTGAGCAATCGTCTTCCAAAGCATGATCCTACCCTCGTGTACAATGCCTATGTGTTTGCTCATGTCGATGCCGGTGACTTGGATGGTGCTATGGAGGTGGTGCGTACTATTCGTGCCAACAATGTACGCATCAACATTCGTCCTTACAACAAGATCATCAATGGTGCAGCCAACAAGGAGAATATGGCCGTGATTGATCAAGTGTTGAATGAATTGCGCCAAGATCCAAGCTTGCCAAAGCCTGATGCCAACACCTATGGTCCTTTGTTGTCCATGTATGCTCGTCGAGGCGAGTATGACAAGGCTACAGAGCAATTGGAACGATTATTGGAGCACGATCTTTCTCGACAATATGGCCGTATTGCTGATTATGTGTGCTTGTGCCGTTCTCAAAAGCAGCCTGATCGTGCATTGGAGGTATTGAAACAAGCAAATGCCAAGGGGATGACAGTGGACGTCGACTTGATTCGCGAGGTGCTTAATGGATACATTGAATTGGGTCGATATGCTCGTGTCGATCAAGCCTTTGAGACGCTTGCTGGAATGTATGCAAAGACCAACTTCATTGACAACAAATCGCCTCTCACCTACATGGCGACTGATCTCGCAATCAAGAACAACAATCTCAAGGTCAGCGTGTCGTTGTTACGTCAAATCTACAAGTACAGCGTGCGTATGAGCCCACCATTGGCATCCAATGTTCTTCGACAATATGATGCTGCCAAGAAGGATACTGCACAATGGAAGGAGTTTTGCGATTCGGCCGATTCACGTGATTATGGTATCTTGTACGAGGCTCTTTTCCGCACCATTGAGGAACGTGATCAGTTTGCCGATCGTATTTTCCAATTGTTGGATGACGTACGAGCTTTGAACATTCCATTATCCATGCCCAATCTCTATGTTCGTGTCATGACCCATCTCAATCGTCTCAAGAAACCAGATGCACAAGCTCGTTGGCAAAAGGAGTTTGAGCCTTTCTTGCAAGCAACTGAGGAGGGAGGATCAGCAACAGCAGCAGCAGCAACATCGCCATCAGCAAGCACTTCTTCGGGTTCTTCAGCTTCTTCTTCAGCAAGCACAGTGGCAAATGTGGAATCTGGTTTGCAATCGGGTGCTGCACTTGGTCTTGCTGTCAAGGGTGATTTGAAGGGTGCTATTGGCGTGTTGGAGCAACAAATTTTGGGCAAGGGATTGGTACCCAAGCCAAATGTGATTCGTGACATGATTCAACAAGCGACTCGGTACAAGGACATTGCAAGTGCACAGCGTATCTATGACTTGACCAAGGATAGTCTCGGCCAATTGGTAGCCAATGGCAACAACGGCAACAATACCCAACAGCGTCATGCAGTACAAAATGTGCTCAACAGCATGTTGATTGCCTATGCACGAGCTGAGGATATTCCACGCGCCAAGGAATTTTACGATGAGTTGCGTGCACGTGACATGGTGCCTGATGGTGACGGCTATGCATCATTACTTGCTTGTACACCCAACAGCACAGCGGATGAATCGACCGATGCATTGGATATTTACGACGAGGCGATGAAGCATCATGTTCGACCCACGGTGTACTTTTACAATGTGATCATGTCGAAGCTTGCAAAGTGCCGAAAGATTGAACTTGTGCTCCAATTCTTTGATGAAATGAAGCGTAATCGTGTGGCACCCAATTCGATCACCTATGCAGCAGTTATCACGGCTTGTTTGAAATGTTCTTCGGATGTACGTGCGGAGCGCTATTTCCATGAGATGCTTGGTGATCCTCGATTCCAACCTCGTATTGGTGTATTCAACAGCATGATTCAATTCTACACACAACAAAAGCCCAATCGCGAGAAGGCTTTGGAGTATTTCCACTTGTTGCAACGATACCGCCTTCAACCCTCAGCACATACATTCCGCCTTTTGATCGAGGTGCATTCCAATATCACGCCATTCGACATGGTTACAGCACATCGTGTTCTCACTGATATGGAACGTCGTCATGGTGTCTCTCCTGGTCCTACTCATTATGCTACGCTTATTCGCTCTTATGGCTGTTTGCATCGGGACGTTCCTTCAGCAGAGGCTGTGTACAATGAAATGCGAAAGGCTCGTGTCAAGCCTGATGACTCGGTTTATCAAGCCATGTTCAGCACTTACATCGAGAACAACGACTTGGAATCAGCCGAGCGACTTTATGGAGAAATGCGTAAAGGTGGTGCCATGTCTTCTGCATACATTGAGAATCTCTTTATTGCTGGCTATGGTACTCGTGGTATGATGGAGAAGGCCGAAGAACGTTGGAACAAGCTCGCAGATGTTAAGCATGATACCGATCGATCCGTTATTGTTCGTGAACCAAGCACTTATGAAGCCATGGTCAAGGCCTATCTCGCCAATAATCAACAAGACAAGGCTGCAAGCATTGTAAAGCAGATGCAAGGCGCTCGTAATTTCCCTGTCAAGATCGTTGAAGCTGTCAACCAATTGCTCACTACCACCAACACCACCACTACTACCACTTCTTCCACGACCACTCCTACAGCTTAATCGATGGCAACATTCTTTTTTCATTCATATCTATTCACTCTCGCACATTCTTTCATATCTTTTATCATGTTTTGTTTTCTGTACAGTTAATCATTTCCTTTCTTTACAATAAAAATTGATCATACTAGAGCATTCTTATTTACTGGTATATGACTTGAAGGGGGAGATGGGTAGGGATACTGTACACTAGGATGAGGATGATGCTGGTGCTCTATTTTTGTATCGTTCCATAAGCTTTTGTAATGTCGCTTGCACAAATTTCGATCGATCGTTTTGGTTGTCTGCGACTCGATCCAACAATCCATTTCCTTGTATCGCTTCGACCAATGCTGCTGTAGATTGCCTTAATCGTTCTGCTTCTGATGCAACATAGCGTATCGAATCATCAACATGAGGCACTAAAGCCAAGCATTATTACTCGCTCTTTTGATAATGATGTGTATAAAACCTTTTCCTTACCGTTTTCATTGCGTGCTATCTTGGTCAATAGCTGTAGCATGTTGGAAACCTTGTCAACCTCGGCCAACTCCTTATCCAGATCCCGTGATTTGCACTCGAGTTTATGCTTGAATCCTTTTTGCTATAACATAAACGTTGCTCTGTGAGAGAGAGGTGAGGTATAGAGAGCAAGTCCACATCAAACCTACTGCCAAAATCTTCCTCCGTGCCTTGAGTAATTCTTGATCGAGTAAATCTTCTTGTTCCTTGGTTGCCGATAAATCGAGATCCTTTCATAGGTGCGTTAGAAGACATACGGATACGACCCCCTTCCACTTTTTCTACCTTGTGATGTGCTAGTTGTATATTGGTATTGGGCGGTAGACGCGTGATATTGTCGTACATGTACTTTTGGAATATGTTGAATTGTACGTCCAGCTCTTGTTCTACTCGTTTCTGGAACTGATCGATAGCCTAATGGAACGTTAGCCTTTTATCTTGTACATTGGGAATAAAAGAACTTGCCTCGTGCATTTCCATGTCCTTGATTTCGGGTCGATTGTTCTTTATATAGTCTTCGTATGCGTCAATGGCCTTGTAAGCGACGAGATTGTAGCCATTGTACCAGTCGTCTAGCAGATCGGCCAACAGATAGCTAAAGTGTTCACCGAGAAACTCCTTGTCATCGTATTCACGTGTCGATCGTTTGAGTGGGGTGATAGTGGGATTGGCACTCATGGTTGGTTATGGGAGGGAGAAAGAGGAAGTTGGTGCGGCCGCCAAGTGGTCTCTCGAAAATCATGCACTCCTTTTAGCTGATTACATGCCCACACGTCCTCCAGTCTAAAACCGGATTGGATTCAACATCCTCATTACGTGGGTAGTTTTGTATGAGGATGTGTCGACCCGTACATAGCTATTACAGTAGTATACCACCTAAAGGAGTACAATGAACTAAGTAATGAATGGATCAGTTGATAACATGACATGCATCCCTCGCCGTATATGAATAAAAGAGCTATCTTGAAGATCTAAATCACAAAAAAGGAACATGTATCTCCACGTTTGAGAAGATCTAATCATAAAGAAAAGGGAGGGTGCGTTTCATTATCGAATACAGCCTTTGTTCAAGACACAATGAATCCATCAGACCCTTCCTCTTCCTCTCTTTTTCCTTTATCACAGCCGCTACAGGCTAATAAAACCTACATTTGCCATTTGCCATACATCTTTCTATAATACTATGCATCAAGTCCCACACACATGACGAGGTCCAACTCAGGAAGAAGGAAGAAGGACTTGTAGAAGCTTAGAAATGGTTGGCAACGCAATGTCTTATACACTCAAGTAATCCTTTAATCCAACATCATGTACAAGAGATGGGCTGAGGGATATGATGAATTGCTTCTACAATGGGGGAGATACATCGATATGGGAAATTTCTATCCTTTAGGCGGTGCATTGTCCAAAGGTGGATGATGGATAAGATGCGTGGTGGCGAGTTATCCAATATGACCATCAAGGAAATAGGGCATGAGAAAGTAGATATGGCGTCAAAATGGGTCAAAATGACAAAAGTGGGAAAAATACGTTAATGTTCGACGTGCCACAGTCGAACTTTTTTTATGCAGGCGACAGCAGCCACTTGACTATCCCCGCTTGGAGTTATCCGGAGTAAGTAAAGCTTTCCTTTCTGAGGTGCGAGTTCACTATCATCCTTCCCCGTGTATTTGTAAGCACGCAATTGCCAACCCTTTCTCTCACTCTCTCTCGCTCTCTTTCTCTCCTCTGCTTCCATGTCGGGGAGATCGCATTCAACACCGGAAGCTGGTATGTCAAAGAACCTCGCAATGGGTAGACATGTGTATATTCAATAGAGCTATTGTCTTTGATAGACGCAACACCACCACCACCGCCACAGCATGCCGTCCACCATTTCACAGTATGTCTATATCGACACCTCGCCCATTTCGACCATTGAATATGAACATTTATGCATAGATCCGTGCCACGTTGGTAGGGTTGGTGATTGGCAGTATTATGTGTTTCTCCAACATGTATTTTGGACTTCAAACGGGATGGATATCCATGATGTCGTTGCAGGCGTCGTTGCTTGGCTATGCAGTATTCAAACCCTTTCGATCAAAACTCGCTCGTCCCTTTGGCCCTGTGGAAAATGTGGTTCTTCAAACGACTGCCGTTGCAACAGCTACCATGCCATTAGCTGCTGGTAAGTATAAGAGACAACAACAAGAACACACTATAAAGTATGTACTCAATGGGTGCGTCTTGATAGGCTTTGTCGGCATCATTCCTGCACTCGGTTTATTGACATCGGATGATCATTCTGAAGGTCCTATTGTGTTATCAGGTTGGCAGTTGGTACTTTGGTCACTTGGCGTTGCTTTCTTTGGTGTATTCTTTGCTGTTCCTTTGCGCAAGCAAACCATCATTCGTGAGAAACTTCGATTTCCATCAGGGACAGCAACCGCTGAAATGATCTCTTTGCTTCATCAACCTGCAACATCCGAAAAGATACAACAAAACACCAATCTACGCCGTCGACATGCACCTCAAAGTGAACAAGAAGATCAACCTTTGTTATCTTCACCATCTTCTACATCATCCTATTCACCACCACCACCAGTTTCCAATTCACCTTCCAATGTCGCACTAGCCTCACTTTCACACGACCATCATTCAACAAATGATTCATTGCAACAAGAACGACATCAAGAGCAACACATTTCTGAAGAAAGCTGGAGCTTGAAGCTGCATGCCTTGATCATTTCATTCAGCTTGTCATCTGCATACACGTTGCTTTCCTATTTCTTCCCCATCATCTATACACTACCGCTCTTCAATTGGTTATCGCTCAACACCATTGATTTCATGGGATGGGAATGGTACTTTACACCGAGTCTTAGCTATGTTGGCCAAGGCATCATCATGGTATGTGACCAAGAAGAAAAGGGGAAACCATTTCATGTACTAAACTTTGTTTCTTACAGGGTCTTCCTACCACTCTTTCCATGTTGCTTGGATGTGTCATTGGTTGGGGAATCTTATCACCCATTGCTTACTATGCAGGATGGGCACCAGGACCCGTTTCGGATTGGAAGACGGGATCGAAAGGCTGGATCCTTTGGATATCTCTTGGTGTAATGGTGGCAGAATCAATCGTATCTCTTGGTGTTGTCCTTGTTCGTTCGATTATCAAGTGGATGAAGCCTTCCAAAGAACAATCTTCACAAGCACATTATCAGCGATTACGCCAAGACAATGAAAGTCTCGAAGCCGAGGAGGAAATTGAACGTGATACATTTGAGTATGATGAAGAGGAAACAGATGCGCCAGCTGAACAACGTGTCAAGATATCTACCACCTTGATCGGCTTGTTGGGATCCACAATACTTTGCATCTTTGCAGTGAGCGTCGTGTTCGGTATCCATGTGTTGCCGATTGGAATGGCGTTTTTGGCAGTGGCAGTGGCAATGTTTTTGAGTGTGCTTGCCGTGCGTGCTTTGGGAGAAACCGATCTCAATCCGGTAGGTGTATATAAACTTTTGACAACAATCGCGATATTGATTGAAGAATTCAGGTCAGCGGTATTGGAAAGATCAGCCAAGTCATCTTCGCTCTTATTATGCCTGGTGGCATTGCCGCAAATCTGATTGCGGGTGGCATAGCTGAAGCAGGTAAGATTAAATGTGAGCATTCATAAGGAGAATACTTACTTATCATGGTGCATAGGTGCTCAGCAAGCTGGTGATTTGATGCAAGGTAATCATCATTTATTGCTATCATGTTGTCATTGCAAAAGAGGCTGACGTATCTTTATCTCATAGATCTGAAAACGGGCCATCTACTAGAAGCATCACCTAAAGCACAGTTCTATGGACAATTGATTGGCTCCTTTGTCAGCGCCTTTGTTGCAACAGGTAATACGGATATCGGGATACGTCAAACATGATGGGATGTCTTATACCAAAAGATGGGCATTAGGTGCATACAAGCTGTACACCACCGTGTATCAAATTCCAGGCCCTGAATTTCCAGTTCCCACAGCTCATGTATGGTTGGATATGTCGAGATTGGTGAATGGTCAACCACTCCCTCCTCACGTGAGCGAGTTTGTCTTGGTGTTTTCATTGTTGTTTGCAGCTCTTGTTCTTGCCAAGGAGGTGGGACCATCCAATCAACAGCATACGGGATGGCGTCGCTATATACCACAAGGAATCGCATTTGCTATTGGCATGTACAATCCTCCAAGCTTTACGTTGGCTCGTGTTATCGGTGGTTATTTATGCCATGTTTGGAATCGATACTGCGACCAGGCATCGCCATCAGCCGCAGAGCAAGACAATTCATTCTTTGGAAAGTATCGCCACAAGGTGGGCAAGGTCTTTATTATCATTGTTGCAAGCGGATTCGTATTGGGAGAAGGCACGTTCGCGATCGTTAATCTGGTTTTGCGTGCTTGCAATGTACCACACTTTTAAATTATACATGTATATCCTTTATTCACCATACAACTAAACTACTAGAAATAAAGAGGTTGAACCTAGAAATCAATGTATGCTTGCTATCACAACATGAAATGATCACAACGACGAGTATCATAGCAACGATGCTTATACATTTCAAGCTACGAGGTTAAATGAACCAGCTATCGCGAATTACCTCCTTAATTGTGTTACCCCCCGTATCGATGCTTCAATGATCTACCACGACGTATATACTGTACCTGTCATGCCTTTATATTACGGGGTTTGTGTTGGACCAACAATATAGTCAGACGCGCACCATCTCCATGGAAAAAGGGAACCAAAATTTACACTCCCAGCCATCATGGCAGCTATTCAATGACCGCCCATCTGGGATCACCTCCTTCTCTATGTACTAGCAAAAGTGGAACGTTAATCATTCGCGAAATAAAGATCCGGTTAACAAGATGATTATGATGCTCTGATATCGATGTGTGTGCCAAATTCGATGTCGCTTTACTATATTTCGAGGTTTGTGTGATTTAATCATGCCTGTGATGTTGCAGTGGGCCACCGTAATTGGAAATCAAGGTAGGTACTGTGCTTGTAATAGGGATCACAAACTAATGTAAGCTCACAGGGAGCTTCTTTGAATTCGAGACTTGCTTTTTCCGGATCTACAATGTGCGCTTCCCTTATCATCGACAAATTCAGGGCAACATGCACTTTGACAGCTTGTATGATCGCCAGCAGCGGAGCGATCGAATCTTTGAATCTTGTTTTTGTATTGTAATGTATACAATGCCTCGTTTTATTTCTATATCTCCTTATCCATGCTCCTTTTCTAGATCTACCAGTGCTTTCCATTTCTTTACTATCAGCAAGTTGGAGATGATGAACCCAAGCTCCGATAGGATGTGAGTATGCGTGTGTGTGCGTGTGTGTGAACAAGATATCGAGATATCTACTCTTTCCGCTTACATGTGTGCTGACTTGAAAAAAAGTTGGAGATCCCACGCATATTTCCCACCTTCACTTTACGCTCGATTTACTTTCTTTATCACCTTCTTTTCACTTGTCATTCCAACATCCCAGCATTTATGGTGAGAATAGAATAATAGTTAGTGCGCCGAGAATGATAACGGGGATGTGGAAAGAAAAAAGTTTTAAGGTTCTACCTTACGAGTGCGGAAGAAAATGTTCACGGTTACACTTTGAGGACTCGGACCGAAAAGCTGCGTAATGCGCCTTTTTTAACCCATGATCCAAGACAGGCTCAAATATTTCCAAACAAGTGATGTTTGAATATGGATGGCTATATACTTGATGCTTATCAAAGTCAAGTTTTTTCTTGCTAGTTGGGCAATGTCATGTGAGAAAACCAATATAGGCTTGGAAGTAAAGCTGTCATGCTTCCGGGCGGACTTGTGTATGTGGTATGTCGGAGAACAGGATGGGTAACGTTGGTGCCATCTCTTGTAATCCCCCACTTGGCTCACACCCCCAACAGAGAACGCTGTGCATCTCGCTCTCTCCACCACCCCTCTTTGTATATGGTTGCACTTGTAGAACCTTTCTCTTGATCAGTACAGCCGGTGCATGAGAAAAAGTCATAGAGGGGACCTGTTCCCTTCTCGAAGCAAATCGTAGCAATTTCCTTTGGTATGTGTAGCACTTTTGGACCTTATTTTTGGCTGGCTCTCTCATCTTGCTCTTTTTCTTCATTCTCTTTCCTTCATTATACTCTCCCTCCATTAGAGCTCCCCTTTGGCATACTCCCTTTCTCCTCTTTATTACCATCCATCCCTTGGCTACTTTCACTTTTCTTCACGCACATACAAAAAGTAGCAAGCTCCTCATATCCCTGTGATTCTCCTATCTATCATCCACATACAAAACGATGAACAGCCTTGACCTCAATTCTGAATACATGAATCATCTCTCCCCGCAATACACTGAAGCAGCTGCTGCCGCCACCAAGATGGAACTCACAGCCGTTGACCAACCCATCATGTACCAAGGTAGGTGTGTCTATATCAAAAAGCAAGGCTTGGATACACTAACACACGCGTGTTGTTTAGGATCGCCACCATTGTACTTGTCGTCATCACCTGTACAAGCAGCTCCCATGTTTTATCATGATGGCCAAGTTGCTACTACTACTGCTGCTAGTGCACACCACCAACCTTTTGGTAGTCCCGATTCGTTCATGTCGGGTATGTCGCCGCAGCATAGCCCACTCTCGCATCATCCTGTAGAGCCACCCATGTTGGTCGCGTCGTCCTCATCTTCGACGACTGCATCATCCGCATCATCCAATTCTTATCTTAATCAGACCCTTGCCAAGGCATCGTCATTGCCTGAATCATTTTATCCCGAGTTTCTTCAATATTCCAAGGAATCATTTGAACAGCAGCAATGTTCTGGTGGTAGCAACGCAGCTCCAAAGAACAAGAAGCGACGCTGCTTACAGCAACAACAGGATGAAAACAATGATCAACAAGATGATCAAGAAGAAAACCAGCAACAAGCTGAAGAAAATGATACCGATGATGCGTAAGTCAATCTTTTTTTATCACCCCCTATCGTTTCTTTGGTACTGAACCTTATTTTCAGCAACATGACCACCGCCGAAATGCGTCGTCAAATCCATATCCAATCCGAGCAAAAGCGTCGTGCTCAAATCAAGGATGGCTTTGAGGACTTGAGAAACGAATTGCCCGCATGTTTGAACAAGAAAATGAGCAAAGTTGCTTTGTTGCATCGAAGTAAGTATCCATTGGCCATACAAAAATCTTTCTGGTTACTCATTCATGTCATAGCTGTTCAACACATTCAACATCTCAAGAGCACACAAATGACCATCCTTGCTGAATTGGAGCGGCTAGTGCATGAAAATGAGCAGCTTCGCAAGTAAGTGTCACTTTTACTCTTTGTTGTAAGCAGGTGAAATTGACCTAGATGTATGATCACAAATAGGTTCCAACAAGGTGTATTGCAGAAGCAAGCCTTGGAGAACATGTACACCATGGGTAATATGTAAATTGATTCATCGACCATCCATCTTATCTCTCTACCCATTCCTATTCCATTTGTACACCTTTTGTCTTCTCTCGCTTTCTCATGGCAAAATCGCATCTATCTGCATCATGTTATTCACCCACCCAAGCAAGCCACAAACTAACCCACATGCCTTTCACTGACTATATAACCAAAATGCACTCTCACCTAACTCTCTCTCTCTTCTCCCTACCCTGGCAAAGGAGCCCTTTTTTCATTTTTCGTTTTGGCTCCTCTTATAGACATCTTCTTTCTATTCCTCTTTTCTTCTTATATACCAAATGACCCGTCCTCCATTCTCACCCCGCTTTTCTTTCTCCTCCCCCTCTCAATCTCTCAAGTGGACATAACCAACCATACACCCATTTTGCTTTTTTTCTACCTTCTCTTCCAACTCTCTCTCTCTCTCTCTCTTCTCCATGCTTATTCTGGGACTATGTGTTTTTAAACTTTTTTTGATTTTCCGTTAATGAAGCAATCCAAAGGGAAAAAGAAATCAAAACAACGTAGCATAGCATATATGATAAGCGGATGAAATATGCCGTCATTGATGCCGCACAATGTATGTGTGCGTCTGTGCACATTGTTTCCATGATATCACCACAAATAGGGAAATGACAGATCATCTTTGTTCATAACGTACTTTCACATGATCAATCAATGAGCCCAAGGCAGACCCCAAAAGCCAACGTGGTCGACATGTGTCAGCTGGGATCATGTGGGGGGAAGGGAGAAGACGACAACAAGGTCTATTTTGAAACATGAATCTTGTTGCTTTTAAGGATGATAACCATTGTGGGAATAAAACCACCATTGAATAGTAGTAGCAAAGCGTATATTGTAATTCATTAGAAGCGCTGGTAAAAAGTGTTGGGGGGGGGAAAGTGGGGAAGGGTATAAACAGAGCAAAGGGCAATATCCTTGAAAAATCAACTGCATGTGTGTGTGTATATGTATAAAAGTGTGCGTGTGGTGATGATGATGATGATGATGATCACCAAGTGGTGTATCGTTCGCCTGCTTCGAGCAGACCAACAGCTAATTTCAGTGCGTTTTCCACCCGCATGCCAAGAATACCGGCATCTTGTATTGCTTTTTGTTGTCGCTTTTCACGGGATGCTGTATTGATCATGATCGGTAGTTGCAGCAGCACCTTACATATCGTAATGGATAATTGCATACGCCTCCAGATATCAAAGTAGGATAATCGTCGCAGTTCCTGCTGCAGCTCGTATAAACGCATCACCTCAAATTGAATCACCTTGTAGTACGTTTGTGTGGCTGTGTGCGTGTGTAATGCATTACGTTAATATCCAGTTGAATTCTATTGCATGTGGTTTTTACTTACATAGTAGTAATTCTCGCATCTTTCGAAAGGCAAGCTCGATTTGAATGATTGCATCTTCACTTATACGCATGCCAGGATTGGTTTCATTGAGGGCATCTAGCAATCATAATAAGGATGAGAACAAAGTTATCATTGGATACCTTTTTTCAGGACTTACGAATAAATGCACGCATGGTTTGGAATTCCCCATCCATCATTTCGATAAATAACTATGACAACATGTTAGAGAATGAATGATGATTGCAATTCTTTCTCTCTTTCTCTTACCTGATGAAGTACGCGTTGTAACGTTTCATTTGGATTTTCATCGTCTAACCCTGTACCTGGTTGAGCTGGCTTGGATGATAAATCATACATCAACTTTGAAGAAGGATTGCTAAGGGTCTCATAGGCGAGTGATAACACTAAGGGTGAGAAAGCGTAGATAACAAGATTGAAATTAGTTAGGAGGTTACTGAACGGGCCATTTCCCCCATCGATCTCTCTCTCATCAACAACAACAACACACACTCACACACACACACGCTCACCCCACCACGATGACATCCCCAACTCAAAACCCCCACCCATCACACACACACACGCTCCCTCTTGTCTCTCCTATTGAACCACACGATTGCTTACATTGGAAACTCTCAGTGGCTCGAGGATAAGGTGGCACAAATTTGTCTGGGTGGCATACTCGACTACGCTACATGGGATATCGTTACTATTGATATGCATGTGATCATTTGATGATAGTATTCGTTCTTTACCCGAATGTAAGCTCGTCGTATGTCTTCGGTGGATGCCTCCTTGGATACTCCCAATACATGATAGTAATCGGGCGCGTTGAGGATGTTTTCAACTTGCTGATACTTGTCGTTGTCAGCTGAAGTGGTTGGTTTGTTGTTGACATTGGTGACCTTTTTGGCTGGTGTTGCTCCTCGGTAATTCCAAGGACTTATGAATGGCATGGTGATAGTTGTGATGGTGGTAATTCCAATGAGGTCTTTGTTGTGAATGCGTCAATGGGGAGAGTCAAGTAGTGGGGGAGTAAAGAAAGAAGGAAAAAGGGAGTTGCAATGACAGACAAGGCGGCGTAGACGTGGGTTCTATCTCACTCTCTTTGTGTCTCTCCTAAAGCTTATCAAAAAGAGTCAAGACGCTTTGTGCGTGTGTGTGTGTGTGTTTGTAGGAGAAGGAAGAAGGAGTTGTGTGTCTGCGGTTAATGTTGGATTGGGAGAGAAAAAGAAATGCAACCCACCCAAGTTACAGGCTGGTCTCTCTTTCATGTGAAAAATCATAATACTCTCACTTTTTTGGCTCACTCACTCACTCACGCACTCTTTCATTTTACCGGCATTTCAACCGAGTCAAGTTTCCATTTGCTTTAGCATGATTCAACAAGTTGTAAGAGTAAAAAGATGATAACCCATCATGCCCCTAAACGTGTCGTTTTTATTTTCTTGTCATGTTGTTGTTGGGTAAACATAGTTTGGACTATTGTTGTCTGTTGAGCATAGTGGAAAAAAGAAAGGGGATCCGCACATGCCTTTGGTGCAACCATGTTCCCCGATCCAAGGATCCTGTGTAAGGGCCAGTGCGTTTTTGTTGGCACTGATCAAAAATTTCGTGATTCATGTGCAAATATTGCACCCGACTTTGTCATTGCCCCACCTATTCAGTGGCTTGCTACCCAAGATAACTTATCATGCAATAAAATGATAATAACATGCACATGAGGGTCTATGAGTAAGCAAGGACACAATGAAAAAGGGGTGATTGGGTGGTGTGATCTCTATCTCTACGATCCCCCTGCGGACATGATCTCTTTGTATCTTGGTTTTTATAGATATCGACCATGGAAACCCAACTAAACAACGAACCCAGCAAGGTGCTGAGCTTTCTTGATGACAATGTGCTAGTACAAAGACAGCAATCCTTTCCATCAAGGCTGCCATCCAAAAAGAAAAAGAAGCTTTTGATGCATATGCACCATGTCGTCATCATCATTGATTGTTGCCAACGAGAATACTTATCCTTACTCTTCAATGCGCACACAATGACTGGTTCATTTGTGTACACCCAATACCCATCCTTGTATTTGCGTCTCAGTGTAGCACCTTGCTTTTATGTACAGACTCACATGATTATTGTTGACATTAAAGCTGCAGCAAGCGGCGTGCATATTTGTGACCTGATACTTGCATAAAATCCTTTCAGCCATCATGAAGAAGGACAAATAAAACAGTCGACTCATTCGAAAGTACAGCTTTTGGTGAATGCGTACATTATTATGGATCCACCGGATAGCAACCAATACGTCTTTGCATATTGTTGCAGGGAGGAAGATGTGTTCCTGTTATAAAGATGAGACACCCCAACTTGCATGGATGATGATGTAGTAGATGAAGATGCCCATTCCATTTGATGATTATATAAGAATGTCCCTGATATTATATAAGAATACAGAGCCATAGGCTGGTCTTTTATTTGAAATGCATGAATGACAAAAGGCTGATGTAAAATGTTACACAGGAGGAGGAGGAGGAGGGGCGGGATGTCACTTATCCAACGGCAGGGTGTGCACGCACACACACATACACTTGTTTGTTCGCCATGGCTACCTTTGTTCACGAGCATGTCAACCAATTGAACAATGCCTTGTCCACCGTCTTCCAAGATTGTGCCGAGCTACACCAGAACGGGAATGTCTCCATGACAAGCGAGGGGGATCAGAAGAAAGTGTCCTTGTTACTTGCCAGCCAAGCGATCGATCTCTCGCGAAAGAACGCGTTACCAGACCTGGAAATGATCAAGCGGTACCTGGATCAGTACCTGAAGGAAAGCGACATGCCTCGTGAATCAGCAATGGAGTGGTTGTTCGTTACAAAGTGCATGGTTGCTATCTATGGTGTGCTTGTCGACACGGTGCTCAACTCGACACTTCCGCTTTCCGAGTCTGTCCAATATTGGAATGATATCTACGGCAGCTCTTTCAACGAAGCTTATTATGCACTTGCAAGTAAGTATGATTATGATCATCGTGACGCATGTCAACAAGCATGACTGATGATGTTGTTGTATGATTTAGCTGCTCCTTGGCGCCTTACCACCTTGGTCACCAACACGATCCACGCCATGCAAGAAACCCAGATGGGATTGGCTCCGCTCCTAAGATCGCCCGAACACATCTTGACAAGCTTGTTTCCTCAACGTAGCGACATGCGCCAGGATAGCATCGCCAACATCAAACCTGTAAAAAATGGAAGAATGCATCGGGTCTTTGATCTCTTCTCATCTCACCGCCCTTGGATCGCACAATTAATCCACCAAGAAGTCGGCCTTAAGAAAAAGACGTTGGATCAGCTGCGTACACAGCAAGCAACACGACTCGGCCTTTTGATCAAAATGGGTCCTCAATTCCAAGACAATGATGTATCTCACCAAGTTCGAAAGTGTGTGCGTTTGATGGAGTTGGTCGTTGAGCCCTTTGCAAAAGGATCCGATGTTGTGCCAGAGGATACACATGTGGATGTACAAGCAACCATCGGTAAGACTTGGCTATGATGGGTTATTACAATGAGTGAGATTAACATGATGAGGTGCATAGATGCTTTGAATGCACCCATGGCTACCACGGATGATACCAGCAATGATCCCAAGCATGTTGCAAAACAACTTGTCGCCTTGCTCGAACATTTGGATGTATGCGGCACTCACATGCACCAAGCCTATGCACAATACCAGCCTCCATCCACCCTTGTACGATATTGGATCCCATGCTTGGTTACCTTTGTTGCTGGCCAAATGACAATTCGCTACGTATTCAACAGAAAAGAAGCCATCATTGCATGGTGTCAAGAGCTGGGAACGACATTGAAGGATTTTGCTATCAATTGGATTTGGGAGCCTGTGCTTCGCGTATGGGATACCATTCGTCTCAAGGATGAAAGATTGGGTGTGCTCAGCAAAGAAGGATTGCGTAGTGATGTGGATGTAAGGAGTAGAAGGGGGATGGTTTGTTTAATGCATGTTGCTAAGAACCCTTCTCTTATTATTTAGTCTTTGGAACGAATGGTATTGGCATTTGCACGAGATCACTATCAACTTTCACCCAATGATGCGGAGCAATTGATGACCAAAGTGAGAGATGGCGACTTGTCTGTGGTTCTCAAGGCTTACGAGAAGGAAATCAAGGTTCGAATGGGATAAGCAAATACGATCTTAGAGATGTTCTAATGGTTATTTCTTTGTCATTTAGAATCCCATAAAGAACGCAATTGCTGGTAAGTGGATATTGCTATGATTCAATGCAAGCCCCTTAATGACATTATACATAGGTGATCTTATCCAGACACTTTTGATCCAAGTACAAAAGACCAAAGTCGATGTTGATCTTGCTATGGCTGCATTGGACAAGCTTCTCAAATCAAACGAGCTCAACTTTGCATTCCTCGGTATGTGATGGTATTACTTGTAAATGGGATGATGATTGGCTGATTGACATTGATGATGACAGCTGTGGCGCCATCCATGCTGCTCACATGGGCATCGTTTTCGTGGATCAAGTCTCTCTTCCAGCGACGTACCAGCCAAGTAGGAAAAGCAGGTGAACCCATACGTGAAACAATGAGGTAAAAGAGATGGGTTAAGCGAGCAGGATGAATGGCTCATGACAGCTTTTAGACGAGTGGAGCGCTTGTTTGATCTTGCGTTAACCGAGAAATATGGCAAGGACCAATTGGGATGTGAGAGCCAAGGTATCTTATTGTGCGAAGTGCATTTATTGAGGATATACGCATTCCAACTACCTCGACGAAGATCGATACGGGACCACTTTATGGAAGACTTGCGTGATTTGGAGGATGCTCGATTATCAGTTGCGCAAAAGCTGGGTGTCATTACTCGTATGCATCGATCATGGGATTTCCTACAACCTAGATATGCTTTTCAAGGCCAAAAATAAAAAATTTATTCCCTTTCCTCTCTCTATCTTTCTCTCTTTTCTCCTCCATTCTTTTGTCTTCATCATCTTCTTCATCATCATCTTATGTCCCAAGAGCAACCTATCCAGTGCCCTTATGATTCATGCCAGAAAATGGGTATGTTACTCAACGTCTATAACCACACAAAGGTGCCGCTTTAAGACTCAAGATGTCAACGTTGTAGTACCGCAGGGCGAGTTACAGATGCACATGGATAGACATCTAGCCGAACAATTTGCTGCAGAGGATGAGCTGGCATGGCAAGCGAACATAGGCGAGGCAAAAACCCATGTCAAAGTAAGCGACGAGTGATGATAAAGTTTGATGACTTGAAAGTCTTACAATATAGCAACAATAGGCTGATGATGACAAGAACAACATGCAGCAACCTTCCTCATCGTCTTCAACAACCAGCGACTTGAGACGTCCCATTGCCATAGACTTGACACAAGATAGGGCGTTTTGGGCCAAATTGAAGAGGATCAAACCTCGCGAACGCGTTACCAACATGATACAGCTTCTCGTACCTCGACTCTTGCAGATCGGCAGCACCAAAAAGAGCCCTGAAATGCGTGTGGTGTACTTGTGCGATAGTACAGTCGACCAAATCATGACGCAGCCGTATGATAAGGGATGGGGCTGTGGATATCGCAACTGTCAAATGCTGCTATCGTATCTTCAAAAAGCGCAAATCAATGGCGTCTCATTTGTCAAGCATGTTCCCAGCATTGAAGGCATTCAATATTTGATTGATCAAGCATGGAAAGATGGTAAGTATATGGTTTATTGTGTATTACTATGGATCATTGTTTGGCTGATACGTAGGTGGATGACAGGTATTGATCGATCAGGTGCTGCACAATTGGAGCATGGGATTGTAAACACTGAAAAGTGGATCGGTGCTACTGAAGTTTATGCGCTTCTTACCTATCTTGGAATACGCTGCAAGATCTTGGATTTCGATTCTGCATCCATCGCTTATGACGATTCACGTGTTACCGAATTTGCAAATGGTCTTCTCGATTGTGTACAAGATTACTTTGTATCTGGCAGCAACCTCGGCACCCACACCAGTGACAATGAATCCAACACCGTTCACATGACCAACAAGGCACCCATCTATATACAGCATGAAGGCCACAGCCGAACCATTGTAGGCATCGAAGTGATCAACCAAGGTGAAAAGCGCAACCTGCTCGTGTTCGATCCTGATCGCAAGCTACCGGAGACCAAAGCAGCCACGGAGGATCGTGGAGGCCGAGTGCTTACATCCTATCGTTTGAATCCTCATGTTCTTGGTGGTAAAGCACAATACCAACTACTTGTTCTCGGTGATGCCACCATCGACAATCAGACGAACCGTATCCGATTCAACAACGACAAGAGCATCTTGCTTACAAAGATAGAGCAGTATAGCATGAAGAATCTCGTTAGTGTTCGTGCCATGTGATGTTGTATCAAAATGCGTTTCTTATGCCGATAAACATGTCCCATTTTATTGGTTTTCCTTGTCTACGCTCATTCCACTACCACTACTCCTCCTTTACAATGTCTATGGACGAATGGAAAAGTAAATTGTCTACTGAGAATCGACTCCTCTTGTTTGCTTACTATTTCGCTCAGTAACCAAAAAGCGGAAGGCGTCTTTTTCCAATACGCAATCGCCCTTTGATTCAGACCATTACTCGGCAGGATTGGCAGCCAAAATCTCGAGAGAAGAGCAATCGTCCAACACTAGTGCAACAACAACAATCACACCGATGGCAATTGACAATGCTGAACGAGCCATTACTGCTACTCGTCGTGTCCTTGGCACCTTGCGTCTGCGTCCAGCTATGCAAGTAGCCTTCCACTTGAAAGGTGAGACTTTTGGATTTCATGCAGCAGTAGGGTTTGCTTCTGACACACGTGTAAAACAGGTCCTCAAAGTCATTGGATGATGGATCCCTATCTAGAACAAGTCTGGGAGCAATTGAGACAAGTATTGAGCATGATCTTTCAAAACAAAAAGCCAAGCATGAGCCTGCAATGTGCATACGAGGTACAATTGTGGATGATGCGAATGCGTCATTGTTGGTATCAGGTCATTCATTCATACATGGAAAACCCAATTTAGGCTTGCAAGCTTTTATGCCAAAACAGCAAGGCACAGCATGTCTTTGGCCGACTGAAAACCGAATTATCCACACATATTCAACAATCCGCATCCATGTTGTCAGAGTAAGCATCACGTGATACCTTGCATTAAGCGTGCTCACAAAGGTATCCTGCGATGATAGGCTACGAGGAGAAAAGTATCATTTGATGGACGTCGTGAGTCAACAATGGCAAGTTCTCTGCAGTGAGCTGGTAAGTTTGGGTTAAGATGGGTGACGGCCTACATACAAGACATTCACACTTTCGTTTCCATAGGCTCTCATCCGCAATATCTTTATCGAACTTGATCGGCGTTATGTCATTTGTGAAACAAGCTTTGCTTCGATCATGTAAGCTATCCACATTTATGATCCCATTGGTGTTGGCTAACGAGCAATGGGTAGAGACTTTGGTCAGCACCTTTTCCGAGAATCAGTTATGGCTCGTGCGGATATAAGTGAACCTGTGATTGATGGCCTAATCGATATGATCGAAAGGGAACGGTAGGGCTTGATAAAAATGATACATGGCGTATAAAGACATGCGACTTACTATACTGGCTATACATGTAGCAATGGAGAAGGCGTGGACCGCAAGCTCCTCTACTGCCTAACAAGCATGCTGAGCAAACTCAATATGTATACCTCCCACTTTGAGCCTGCCTTGCTCCACAATACCCGCGACTATTATCAGAAAGAAGCCTCGCAGCTATTGGATCAGATGACAACCACCGAGTTCTTGTTGCACGTGGATACGAGAATCGACCAAGAATGCAGTGATCGATTGGAAAGCTATTTGGATGGCAGTAGCAAGGTACCGCTGATGGATATTGTGATTACCGAGACCATACACAAGAACATTGATCGACTCCTTGACAAAGGTATGTTATAATGCCAGCAACGATTTTTCATATACTCATACACAAACAATGGCAAACAGGCTTTGATGCGATGATGGATCATTCTGAAAAGAAGTCTCTTGGCATTTTTTATACTGCTGTCTCAGGAAAACACCGTCTCAGTGAAGATTTCGGAAAGCTGCGTTCAGCGTTTGGAAGTTATATAAAGGTAAAGAGAATAGGATCAAGGAAATGGGATGGCGATAATGATGATGATGATGCTAATGACTGGCACGTTACTATTAGCGACGAGGCACGGAGCTGATTCAAGATCAAGGCAAAGATCACAGCATGATCTCGTTGATTCTCACATTCAAAGGCGATATCGACACTATCTGTGCAGAATGCTTTGACAACGATGCCATGTTTTTGTATTCGATCAAGGAAAGCTTTGAGACATTCATCAACAGTCGACGCAGCCGCCCAGCCGAGCTATTAGCAAGATTCATGGATGCAAAGTTAAGGGCTGCAGCCAAGGTGAGCAAAAGCCATGGGACGCCATCATCATCACCAGTCGTATGCTGATTATTACTTTTAACACGTTTTAGAAACCCGATCAAGATCTTGATGAGCTGATCGACCGATTGTTTGTGATCTTCCGCTACATTCAAGGTAAAAGTGGGTTGTGCATGATCATTGTGTAACAAGGTTGAGCTGAGTCGGGGCCATTACAGAGAAGGATACCTTTGAGTCGTTTTACAAAAAGCATCTCTCACGTCGTCTTTTGCTCGGTCGGAATGTGTCTCTCGATGCCGAGAACAATATTATCTCCAAGTTAAAAGAGGGTAAGTCATTATCAAATAGCGACAATATGAACATGTTGACTTATTATTTTTCATCATCAAAGAATGTGGTGCTGGATTTACAAAGGACTTGGAATCCATGTTCAAAGATATGGAGATATCCCGTGACCTTGCTGTTGATTTCAAGGTATGCACACGTGGACACAAGGAATCGATTTTGCTCACCCATTTGCTTTTAAGAACTTTGATGATTACCCTTCATCCGGTGACATTTCATTCAACGTGAATATTCTTGCACAAGGAACGTGGCCATCTTACCCAGCATGTGAAGTTACGCTTCCAACACACGTAGGTATCTCTTTATCATGATGGCATCGGAAAATGGTATTCATTCATGTGATGGTATGTAGATGAGAGAATATCAGGGATCATTTGAAAAGTATTACTCGACCAAGTACAAGGGAAGGCGATTGATATGGCAAAACTTTCTTGGATCGTGCACAATGAAGGCCTATTTTCCATCCGGCGTCAAAGATCTAAGCGTCAATCTGCTGCAGGCAGCCGTATTATTATTATTCAATGATGCTTGTACATTGTCGTATACCGATATCATTGCAGCTACTGGCATGGGTAAGACGCATTGAAAGGAGGTGACATTGCTCTCTTAATAACTCCCTCACTCGCTATCTAGATGCGAAGGAGCTTAAACGCACTCTATTATCCCTGACTTCTGGACAACATCAGCTATTATTGAAAAAGGACGACAATGATGATGATGGCACCGCCGCAACCAGGGAAATCTCTCCACTTGATACCTTTGTTTACAACAGCGGATTCATATCTTCCACCTCAAGGCTTAAAGTTAGCGTCCCGCAAGCCGATCCATCAGCTGATGATAATCGAAAAGGAACTCCTACCAAAGCTCTCCTCGACCAACAGCATCAGGTAAGAAGAAGAAGGATACAATGAATATGAACGCGTCAAATTGAATGGATGGGTACACACGTAGATTGAAGCAGCTATCGTGCGGATCATGAAAACCAACAAGAAGCTAGCACATGATGAGCTATTGCATGAATTGATCAAACAGCTTGGATTTTCACCCGAGGTAATAAGGTTGATTGTGTGTGGATACTCTTTTTAGTTAACTTGAAATCATCATCAGGTGGCTGATATGAAGAAACGGATCGAATCCTTGATCGACAGGTAAGAAGCTTATAGATGTGATGACGATTTGAATTGAACGCCCGCTGATTTTATTCTTCGTCCGCCACTTGAACAATAGGGATTACCTTGGTCGCGATAAGGATGATGTGAATGTATACTTGTACAAGTAGCAGCTTGAGCAATTAAACCAGCGTTATTATACCCAACCCAATCGATTCCATATCAACATTGATGTTCTCACGGATGCGCTATATTATTGCTTCTTGTTGGTGGTGATGAAAAGTGACGATGCACACACACAAGGTCCGATATTTCTGCCCCTCTTCACCAAAAAGCGTCTAGTCAATGGGTTATATTTTCTGATTCACCTGATCAATAAACACCTAATTTGGTATCGTGTTCATGGTATAAAAAAAGTCATGTAGTGGGTATACACACAACATCGTGGGTATGTGTACGTAATAAATGCAGCAGAATAATGAAACAATGAGGATCATTCCTCGGCACATCTTCTATTACAATTTACGTTGAGTATCAAGTCCTTGATTGCTTGTACCACTTTGGCACCCATTGCTCGTGATAACGGTGTTGTTACAACAACGATACGAGTAACTAGCGCTTATCATTTGCACGTTGGCGATGGCAATTTGGGTTGGTTCATACTTGTACACCCTCCCGGGGAGTGAAAAGGGTCCTTTTCTTTTTAATAATCAACACATCCATTGTCTTTTTATCCATCGGCGACGATCGGGTACTCTTTGTAATGGAAAGGGCTGGCCCACTTTGTATGGCGTGAGCGCGTAATGTAACCCAACAAGGTTAAGGTTCCTTTTTGGTGATCTGCATATATCAACTCCGTCTTTAGCGCTCTTTTGTGTTTCTTTGGATCCGAGCCGAAGCAACGGCGCGCTCCGTTTCGCTTATCGGATGATGATGATGACCCCCCTTTTTGTCATTCTCCTCCAAACTCACAACCCCCTCCCCGACATCCATCATCCTGTTTCTTTATCTTTGGGTATTACCAAAGATGAAAAAAGTGGAGCTTTATGTCAAAGTGAGACCTGTTGCTGCAAGGAATTAGGGGATGAAATAAAAATAATGACATGTTGGGAACCCAGCATGATGTTGCACTGAACCCAAATGTGCTACAGCCAAATTCATTCGTAGCACACTCTGTGTCACAGCACAACCAAACAATTATTTTGAGTAACCAAAACAAACAGCGTTTAGAGTAGAAATAGATATGAGTATATAATATATTATAGTAAAAGTAAGAGAGAGAGTGTGAGTGAGTGAGTGAGAAAAAAAAAGTAAAAGAGGGAAGCAAAATGGGTGATTAAAGTAATAAGTACTAGTCAAGAAAGAGAAAAAGACACACGCAAAGAGATAGCTAGAAAAGAAAAAGAGATGCAAAAAAGTGACAGATTTAAGCAGTAGCTTGAACAGTGGCGGGCGATGCTTCGGGCACAGCCTCTTGCTTCTTGGCAGCAGCAGTATCAGCAGCAGCAGTAGATTCCTCCTTGGGTTCCTCCTTTTGTTCCTCCTTGGCAGCATGTTGTTGTTGTTCATCGTTCGATGTAGAGGCAGCAGCAGCAGCATTGGTGGTGGGTTCCTGTTCAACAGCCTTCTTTTCCTTCTTTGGGAAACTACGAAGGATCTTGGTCAAACGACGACCCAAAGGTGAAGATGAAGACTTTTGTTCTACATAACGTGTGTTCACATGATGAGTTCCATGCGTGACAAAAGGCGTTAAAAATTTTCGTCATTTTTACCTTTAGCAGGTTGTTCGTTGTTTTCCGTAGATGCAGCAGCAGCAGGTGCAGCAGCAGGTGCAGCTTCGTTGTCGGCGGTAGTGGTTGCTGGTTGTTGTTGTTCCTGAGCAGCAGCTTCATCAGGAGTAGCAGCTTCCTCTGCATCCGTTGAAGTAGCGGGTTGTTGCTGTTGTTCCTTCTTTTTGAAAAACTTGTTCACAAAAGGCTTAATGTGATCCATGACATTTTGATCTTGCTTTGGGGTGGGAGTGGTTTCCGATGCCTCGGCAGCAGAAGTCTCAGCAGCAGCAGCAGCAGGTTGTTCTTGTTCCTTTTTGGCTTCTTCTTTGGGAGCAGCTTCAGTGGTGTCTTTGCTAGCAGATGCTATAGTAGGTGCATAAAAGAAAATGGGATCAGCAACATGATAGAAAAAGTGATGTGCAATGGAAATACCTTCTTGTTCAGTAGTAGCAGGTGCAGCAGCGGGTGTATCATCCTCCTTGACAGGGCTCTAAGAAAGAGAGATACAACATTAAAATCGATGACGATAAAAGGAGCAGAGTGCAAAGGAGGAAAAGAACAGGTGATACAAGCCATGCCAGATGACGCATGGGAAATCATACAACCGAAACAATCATCAGCAGGTTGATCTCTTTCTCGTAATTTCCTCCTTGCTCCCTTCCACATCTGGAAAGTGTGAAATGGTAACGTAGCTCTTACCTTGGCACGAGCAAATAAACCATTCAGGAAACGAGATCGACGCTTCTCACTCTTGTCATTGCTGGGAGAAGATGGCACCTGAGGTGTTTCATCCTTGGGTGGCGGCACAGGGGCATCAGTGGATGGGCGGGCTTGTTCTTCAGTAGTAGCAGGTTGTTCTTCTTCTTGCTCAGCAGGTGATTCAGTGGATTGAGCAGGTTTCTTGTCTTCCTTTTTGTCAGAGAATTGCTTCTTGGCCTTGTTCCATACCATAGACAAACGCTTGGTTGTGTTGGATCGAGTTGGCGTGGGAGCGGGAGAACGAGATGATGCTGCTGGTGCATCTGATTCTGCAGCGGGCTTATCGTTATCCTTGGCAGGTGGAGCAGGTGCCGCCTCTTCCTTTTGTGCTTCACTAGTGGTGGTGCTTTCCTTGGGAGCAGTATCCGTATTAGTGGTAGTGTCTGCTGCTGCTGCTGTTTGGGTGTTTTCAACAGGAGTCTCAGTAGCAACAGGTTCAGTGGGCTTAGTAGTTTCAGTCATAGTGTGTGCTTTTTTAAATGTATAGAGAAAAGAAAGAGAAATGAAAAACGGCCCAAGATGCCAATTTTATGTCTTTTTTAGAGTCACACGTGATCGACTCCTCTCCTGTCTTGTGCGTAGTACAAGGGAAGAAAAAGGAATAAATGATGCTGCGGCTGTCCCGACTCTCCAAAAGAGTAAAAAAAGTGTAATACCATGTCATGTATTGTAACTATTGCTATTTGCTATACGACTATTATAGATAACTAAAACTCCATATCCTCGGTATAGTTGGCTGGAAACATGCCAATGCGTTCACCAATTTGCCCTTCCCACCAACATTGCCGGTCACCTTTTCGTTGCGTGACAATGATGTGATCACCAGCGGAAAATGATAAATCGCCTGGTTGCTGTGCAACGTAGTCGTATTTTGCCACGACGACCGTTTGTTGTTGTGGGTCCATGATCGGCGGTTGTTGCTTTTGATCGGGTTGGTAGTTGGCAAATGCGCCTGATCCACTCATATTGTATGCTGGTGCATTGCCATCAACACCGCCAATCGGCTGAGTGCTGCTATTGCCGCTGTTGTTGTCCTTTGGTCCAGAATAGTCATTATATGGCGTCTGGGTTGTGTTAGTGCCGCCATCATTAGGTGTGTTGTACAATGTTTGCTTGGTATCGCCTGTTGGTGGTGATGCTGTTGTTGTTGTTGGTGTCTGTTTGGTATCGCCTGCTCCCATAAACATGTTGGGTTGCTCCGATGGCATATAAGGTGGTGGTGGTTCATCATACATTCCTTGTTCATTGTTGTTGATATTAGCTTGTTGTTGTATCGCTCCTGGTGATGTCACAGGTGCTTGCGAATTGCTGCCAGTAGTATTGTACATGTGCTGATTGTTGTTATTGTTGTAAGGCTTTCCATCCATATTGACAGGTGATCCATAAGGTGGTTGTTGCTGTGGGGGACCTTGTTGAAAGGGAGGTTGAGAAGAAGGTCGTGCCATTGAGCTGCCTTTTTTAGGTGCAAACGGTAACCCTGGTCTTGGTCCAGCACCCAATGAATAAAGTATTTGATAAAGTCGCTGTGCTTGTGGGGGTGCTTGAATGCCACCTGTCAATATCTCCCTGGCAGAAATAGTTCGACCATAGAATGCTGCATTGGTGTTGACTCTTTCAGAGATCTTGGATCCTTCAAATGAATAACCTGATGTGCGTGTTCTCTGTTTAGTATCCATCATCCTCATCATCATCGTGATGTCCTCTATACTTTACCAGCAAATAGCCCCTTGGATGCACTATACAATACCATGTAAGCCCATCTTGATCAATATCCATCTCATCTCATCCATTTACCTGTAAGCATAGGTTGCTGACATGTGAGCTGCACCTGAAGCACCAGCCGAGATATTTGCAGCACGACCTAGAGGACCTGCGCTGATCGACGCATTGGCACCCAGCTGCAATTGACCACCTTGATCAAAGAACGCCTTAACAGCACCTCGATAATTCATGACAATGATTGAATCAATGACTTCAACACCAGCTTGATGTCCAAATCCCTATAGCAATCCCAATAATGAATCTCCCATTGCATTGTTGTACCCTTCATCAACTTACCAATGCACCCATAGAAATTCCAGAAGGAGCGGACCAACCTTTAAGCAATCCCAGATGATATTATACGTGAGTCATTGTGTGCGTGTATGATCATGTACTGCTACGATACTCACTTCCATCAGGCAGCCTATAAATATTTAGAGTCAATATAGCTGCATATCGAGACTGGTAGAATGAGATTACCTTGCAATGATGATACCAGTGCCCTTCTTTGCTGATACCATGAAACCACCACGATAAAGACGAATGAATACCAAGCCGTGTGCATTCTGTAATATGCTTTGTGGAATGAGGAGTTGGACATCTCGTTTACTGGGATCTGAAACCACGATTGAGTAAAGAGGGTGAAACACACCTTGCTATTGTCGTCACCTACCTGTAAAAAGCTCCAAGATCTGCACAGCACGAGCAATGTCACCTATACAATAGCATTGAGCCTCACCATTCCAAAGGCAATAGCGCATGCGTACTTACTCTGTAGTTCTTTAGGAGATCGTGTGCTCATAGTTTTCTGTATATGCGAGGGAGGAAAAAAGAGAAAGTGGCGCTCGAATGTTAAGCTGCATATATAATCAATTGCCGTCACCTGCCAAGAATCCAAGCGTTACACGTAGTCCTTCAGCCCCTCCCTCTATTCTCGGAAACAAGCCGATCCTCGTAATTTAACATTGATTGATCATCCACTTTTACCTTGATTCCATTATGTCCCATAAGCAATAAAAGTATACAACTCGTGTCTCACATTCCTATAGCAAGATCTATGAAGGGTTGCAATGATACTCGATAATGCTAGGATACGGTATGCAAGACCATTACGTTTATTGTCAATGGAAGATGTATTAAATGCTATAAATATCAAAGCATATGATCCAAATGATGTTCAAGGGAGAGTCTTCATTGGGGTATTCCGCTACAAACAACAAAGGAGGGAAAGGTGGGAATCACATGGATGTCAATCACGACAAAAACGCCGACAGCCTTTTTCCTGCATACACCATGGCAACCAATCGACCCGAGTACCGAGATCCAAAGACACCAAGGGCTGTCAAAGTATACACGATTGCACAAGAATCTCGTTACCTGATTGTGGAAAATGTACCTGCTCTTGGATTGGTGGAGAATCTATTGAAGCTTTGCTCGTCGTTTGGACCTGTTCAAAGTCATCGCTTGTTAGACGATCACGCGAGTGCAACCAACTATTGCGATGTGGTGTGGATACAATTTGCAACGACAGCAGCTGCACGAATAGCCAAGAGGACACTTGATGACAAACCCTTCTTTTCCAACTTGCTCAGGGTTTCATATGCACCCGAGTATGAGACCGTGGATGATCTTCGTGGCAAACTCCAGGAACGACGTTATAGCGTGACACAACGAGTATCCTACAATAAGCGTAAAGATCGACGTCAAAGCAAGCAAAAGCCACCATCATCATCATCATCATATACGGAGGGGACTACTACTACAACAGCAACAATGATGCCACCTGTTCTTGGTCCTTTACCCAAAGAGAGTCCATCCACATCGTCATCGTCGACAACAACAACAACAACAACAACAACCAATGCACCCAAAAAGCGTAGAAGGATATGAGCGTGCCAAGATCATGTGATTGTATCCATCCAAGGTTAGTGGCAATGGAGGAGGAGCATGGGGTGGGGGTGGGGTTTTGGGCAATGATGAGTTGACTGTGATATGTACGTAGAAGCATTGGTGATAGACTCCGCCGCCAAGCAGTGAACGACGAGTTGAGTGGCTTGAAGTCCTGGGGAATTGTTGGTGTTTCTTCCTTCTTCATACCTTTGCTCTGCCCCCAGATTCTGATCATGTCTGTATAACTATTCCTCTACTGTTGAGAAAGTCATTCCAGTCTTCAACTACTGTTCACCCACTCTGTTATTGTTTTTCTCTCATTGTCTCCATTCAATCAGTTACTCTCTTCTATCCAAGTATTGTATATATATAAAACCTCCTCCCCTTTTGTCTTCCGCTTCTTCTACTATACACTCACGCACTTCCCCAAAACCCCCACCATCACCACCACAACAACCACTCACCAACCATCCACGACCACAACCATACAACATCCTCATGGCTCAACAAAAATCAAACAAACCAATGCTGGATCGTCCACGAGCTCCCAAGAAACCTCTTGTTTTACCGACGCCTGAAGACGATCGCCGTAGACAACAACAACAACAACAACCACTTTTAACTCCAGATAGCCATGGTGATGATCCATTTGCAGGCATGAATTCCTCCATCAATTATCAACAAGAAATCGAACGACTCAAGGCTCTTGTACCCAAGGTGGATGGAGGTGCAGTTGGCGTCATTGGTGGAATGCCAGGTAGTACAAATGTTGTTGCCGGTTCTAGAAAACGCACCTCGCCAAGGCCAAAGAGCTACGACCAAAAAACAACCAATATTCGACGATCACCACCTACAACAACTACTCGACCCATGTCAGCAACACCTGCTCCTCGATCTATTGTACCACCGCCATCCTCCTCCACTACTGTCACTAGCCCTGTTCCAACACCTCGCTCTATCACACCTCCAAAGGATGATCCAATGGTCATTACCGAAGAAGAGAAATTACGTTTCCTCCAATTCATGCGCAATTGGACTGGAAGTTGGAAGGCTTGGGATGATAATATCACTACTCATTATGGAGGAAGTATGGATGATGGGTATTCCTTGTGGGCTAGACAAATGCCTTGGACTCATAATCATACTTGGCAAGAACCAGCTTAAAGAGGACCACAACAACAACTCTCCATTACCCCCTTTTTTCTCGCTTTCTTTGTTTCCCGCGCCATCATCATCATATATCTTCTCAGCAACAACAACAACAACTCTCATATATACACCACACACACACGCTCCGACCCATTCGTCTCCATTTCATCTCTCTATTTTACTCTCTGTAATCTTCATTATCATATTCCTCCCATCCCCCTTGCCACCTTTATCGTTTCCCCCTCTCCTACATATCGCACATCCAATTTTCTTCTTACTTTTATCTCTCTCTCGCATACTTTTTTCTTTTCCCTCCGTAGTCAAATTGTCTTTATCTCATTATAAAGGTGAATTCATAGCAAACAAGGTCATGATTGTAGCAGTTGTTCTCTTTTTTAATATGTACATAAAACTTGGCAAAATGGCAATATGGTTACATTGGAAGAAGAAGAAGGAAGGGGGGCATAAACAAAACACAACAAAAGATCATCTCGCTTTCTCTTTATGCAAGACCATGGGAAAAGATGGCACCGCCATGTGTGACCATAAATGATGCTGCAGCAGCAACAGCGGCCACAGCACTACCACATCCATTCTCCACCTTGAGATGACGATTGAGCGCATCCATACGGGCAAATGGTTTGGAACAATTGGAACAAACGTAAGGCTTGATATTCCAATGCAATTTCTCGTGTCGGTTACGATCATGTTGACGTGCAAATCGTCGTCCACAATGGGAACATGCATATGGTCGTTCGGAGGTATGGGTTCGCATATGGGATGTCAAATTGTAAGGACGTGTAAATGTTTTGCCACAACCTGGATGTTGACAATGATACGTTCCGGTGACATGTTGCTTTGTGATACGCTTTTGTTGTTGTTGTTTTTTGGTTGATCTTTTACTACTACGATAGCGCTTAGGTGAAGGTGGTGTGGATAAAATGGGTGTTGTTGTTGGCATGGCTACTTGTTGTTGTTGATGTTGATGTTGATCATAAGCTGCCTGCAGCGTCATGGGTGGGATAGATGGTGGTGGTGGTGGTGGTGGTGGTGGATAAAAATGGGAGCTGGTATCAGGGCAACCAAAAGAAGTTGGGGAACAAGCACTGGTTGCACAATAAGGGTCTAACATGTTGACAGCAGCTGGAGGAGGTGGTGGGGAAGGTGGCATTAACGACGTCGTGGTCGAAAATTCGCTTCCATCAGCAATAGGGCTGTAAATGGGACTTGGATAAAACTCAGCAGATGCATCTGCATGCGTAAAGATCGAGTTGTTATTGTCTTGCGGAATAAAGTAATCATATTCACTCGTGGTAACAGCTGAAAGTAATGCATCATCAAAAGGAAGAGAAGTCTGTTGTTCCCAGCACGACATGAAAGGATCTTGTGAATAGGATGTCATTGTAGTAGTAGTAGTACTTGTTGTTTGATGTGATCTGTGGGTCTGTGATTTATGGGGGAATCAAGATCTTCATCGCATGCTCTCTTTATATATATCTTGTCGACTTATTTTTAGTCTCCCCCCTCGCTCGGTACACCTCCCACTAGCGAGCCGATTCAGGTGACCCCTTAGCTAGCACATCATCGCTTTTGCTGATGCCTCCTCACAAACACGCCTGCTGTCCCCGCATATAACATCATCGCAGGAGATACTTGTAACTAAAAATAAAAGCCATAGCTTTTCTGTCAACAAAGCTTACTTTAAATCTTGTAACAAACGTATATAGCATCCATAGAGGATCGTCACCAAAAAAAATGAAAACGCGCGCAACAAATGATCTACACTACCCTAGCATTCATATGCAAGCACGTATACAGCTGCTCTGCCTTCCATATATATACTGCATAGCATACATCACATTGCACACCAAGTGCGCGGAGACAATGGTGCGCGTTAGAGTTTAGACGCTCTATGCATATTGCTGCACGATATCCTCATCATCGCGTATCCAAAAATACATTAATGCAAATCCATCATGTTTTATTTAGAACGGCAAAAACGGAGAGCTAAAGAATGTTCCCCAAGCATAGCACATTTAGGATGCTGCATGGTCGACCACGCGAGTCAAGATGATATACAAACACACATGACATTGTTGTTGTTGTCTTGGCTTCTGGTACCTCTCCCCCCCCCATTATTAGCTCCTCCCCCAACACCCACATACGTTTTTCTTTCCACATGGTGATCACAATGCAAGCCTAAAGTTTTTGTATACGATCTTCAATCGTCATTTATGCCCATGGTGTTGCCTAACGTCATCGTATTATTAGGAGCTTTACTACCCCCTTCCAAAAAAGGAGATGGCACAAAGGAGACATGGAGACTCATTAGCACTGTTTTCTCTTTTTCATTCTTTGGGTCTCTTTGACGATCCTAAATGTACGTAGGCATGCAGCTATTGCGCAGTAATAATGTCATCAGGAAACGCATCAATGACCAACACCAGGGTTTTGCATTGCAGAGTCATTACAGCACCACAACTGCTGCTATGGATCACCCGGATAAACAAAGCTGTACCATCTACTACACTCTCATTTACCATTACCTTGGCTCATGGATCACTTGAATATCGCCAAGACATGCTACGCTTTGAGATGCCATTTTGGTCGACTTACATCGGCTACTGCCATTTATGACACTTGTCAAAGTTGATTTTGGGCCATTGGCAGTCCCTGGGAACCTGTGCTTTCCAGGCAAAGCTTGTTCGCAAAGAAAAACATAGCATAGAGTATAAGCATACTAAGAAAAAGTAGGCTGACGAGAAACCATAGATGCTTCATTTAGCTATTAAAACGTATTGTTTATGTATCTACAGATTTCCAAAAACCTGATTTGAAGCTAGCTACCACCAACCCATCATCTACAAGCTATACTGGTCCGATCTCTTTGGAGCAAGCACTACACGCATCACGCAAGAAACCTGGTCGATCTTGACAAAGAAGGACGCCACTATCATAATCCCAGGGGCCCATAGTTGGTCTCATTCATCCACTCCAACAAAGAAAATGGTCCAGCATCATCCCAAACCCTCCAAGAGTAACCACTTATATATATCACGAGAGGAACATCTTGTGTACTGGTGATGTCAAACGGCCAAAAGGTACAGGCTGGGAGTTGAACCCAATGAAGTGATGATGCCCAAAGTTGCACTACCTCACCCAAAACCTATTCAATGGTAGCATTGATCGTTATCACATAGTACACATATACAATAAACGCCTTTCCATTGTTTGCTTCGTTGGACTTGCCTTTTCCATATACATGAAGACCCTTTGTAGTGTAGTTGAGTCGAAACAAAACGCCAAACGAGCCAACGTTTTGAGATCAGTCTTGCCGTCTATACAAGTTAACACATCAATGGAACAAGTTTTGCTGCAACATTGGGCTCTGGATGTACCTGTTGGCACCAAGTATAGAGCGAGAATAGCAACGAACAAGAGGAAGCGACGATGTCGCCATGGCAACAGCTAACCACCCAACACGCTCATTCCTCAGCACTTGGACACGCTCACTTCCTGACTATGCATGTTCAGAACTACATTAACACCTTACAACGAACAAGAGCATTACCTTGATCGAGATGTCGTGAATGGGATAAAAGGAGAGGAGCGAGAAAGAGAAGAGAAGTCTTTTGTGTCTCAAGTCGTGGCGCTGCTGGTCCCCTGGTTGATCCCCTACTGCTATTACACTGAGGCCACTCAATGACCCCACACACACCATCCACCCAAACACACAGCTCACCCATCATCATC